CTGGGTGCCAGAAGCACTGCGACTGCTGCTATTGTGCAAACCCATCACCTGGCAGGAAACTTTTGAGACAAGCTTGACCAGGCAATGGCATCCACGACTGACAGGCTTGAGTCTCTCCAACAACAAATGAACTCTCTTGCCGGGGTTGTGCTCCAAAACAGAAAAGCACTAGACTTATAACTGCTGAACATGGGAGAACGTGTATAGTATTGGGAGTGGAATGCACCCTTTTTGTAAATGAATCAAATGTTGTTGAGACCAATGCTAATATGCTCAAAAAACTTTGTAATGATCTATTTTCAAGATTTCAACCCACTGAACAATTAGGTTGGTTTAGTAACCCCTTGTTTTCATGGCTCCTACCCTTTGTTAGCCCCCTGATCATGCTGTGTGTCATTTTGATGCTTGCTCCCTGTTTCATACAATTTCTTCACCGACAAATTACTACCATTGCAAAAACTCCTACCAATCAGGTCATGGTCAATTATCAAACTTTGGATTCTCCTGAGATAGATGAGTTGGCTCTTAAAGCTTGTGATGACACTTCTCCATTATAAAAAAAAAAACAGGGGCAGATGTTGGAGGACCCTCCCACTAAGCTTGCAGTCCACCATGTCCAGATAGCTCTAAGGGTCTTGGCGCTATGTGGAAGGACTCCCTTTCTCAGTGGGGGCCTCCTGCTCTCTGGCTGACTTACATGGAAAGTGCCACCAAGCACGGATGCCTGACCTTATCTAGAACATGACCTTTGGCATGGTTACCTGCCAGGTTTTTTACCCCCAGGTTTTCTCTATATAATTAGGCATTGCCCTATAGTTGGATGATAGGATCCCCCTACCACATGTAAATAAAGTATACTATGAACACCTACCAATTGAAGCTTTGGCTGCTGCCTCCACATTATATTTTCTCTGACCCCCACTGAATAAACAGAGCTGTATCACTGAATCTGACTCCTGGGAAGGTCTTTTCTGTCGTGCTCACTGGCTGTCCTGACCCCGTTTGTCGCTTCTGCTCCCTTTGTCATCATGGATCAGGGGCCAATAACCCATGAGGGGAGGGAGAGACCCACAAGTTAGTGTTTTACCTCATCCACTGGACCCCAAAAAGACCACTGAGGACCCAACACACCAAAATGCAAAAGCAAAGGTTTATGGTTTATTCAGGCTTAAGCTCGGCCTCTCAGACCTCACCAACTCAACGGATCCATGCTGAGAGTCCAGAGTAAGAGAGAGTGGAGACTTTTATAGGTTTTAGACAAAGGGGGGGGATACCGAAGATACATTTTGGCTGGTTCAAGGAGCCCACGTGCGCCAACATAATTTTGAACCAATTGGATGTATAAGATGCAGCCCTGGAAGTTTCTTATTGGTGGGTGCTATTCTCAGAGCTGTGAAATGTGCTGTTACCTGTGGGGCCAGGAGTCTCCGTTTTTATCTTATAGGGCAGTTTTTATGCACGGGCTTGCTTAATCTATAGTTTCCTGGAAGGGGGGTGGGGAATAGCAGGCGGGGGTCAGGGCATGCCAGGGTATGTCTAGGCATGTCTAAAGCAGCAGCCAAGCATTTTACAGAAGCTAAAAGAGCAATTAGTGGGGGTCTGGAGGGATTGGGGGGTAGCGGGTGAATGAAGAGGGTCTCAGAGTTGTACATTAGCACAATTAATATTTAATATTTTTGTATTTTTACTTCATGCAATCATAAAACTGGGCTTAACCTGTATTTGTAGTGTGCATGTAGTCATCACTGTTGACCAATATTTTTTGATTGGTGTTGTCTCATGTAGCCCAGGATGGCCTCAAACTCACTATGTAGCTGATGCTGACCTTCAACTGATCCTCCTGATGGTATCTCCCAAGTCCTGGGATCACAGCTGTGATTCCACCCGGCCTAATCATTCTGTTTCACACCAGTTAATCTTCACACTTTCTTAAAGATTTATTGTTTCTTTTTTTAATTAAAAAAAAATTTTATTTTATGTGTATTGCTTGCATGTAGGTAAGTGCACCCATGTCATTCAATGCCCGCGGAGGTCAGAAGAGGCTGTGGGATCCCCTGGGTCTGGAGTTACGGACAGTTGTTAGCTGCCATGTGGGTGCTGGGATTCAAACCTGGGTCTTCTGCAAGAACAACCAGTGTTCTTAACCACTGAGTCATCTCTCTAGCCCCTAGATTTATTGTTTTAATTATGTGTATCCATGTGTGTCTGTGTGGGGGGTATGTGCATGTGAGTGCAGTGCCTTAGAAGACAAGCACAGGGTCACAGATCTCCTGGAGCTAGAATTACAGGAGGTTGTGAGTCACCCAACCTGGGTGCTGGGAACTGAACACCAATCTTCTGCAAGAGCAGCCAGTGCTCTTAACCATGAGCCACCTCTTCAGTCCCTAATTTGCACCCTAACACTGACCCTCACCTCTGTTCTCCATCTGCACTGTGATCCTATCAGATGTAACTGTGCATTTTCATCCCTCACTTAGAAGACACACACCTGTCATTCCCAGTACACTTTCTAAGCACGACAGATTCTCTGGGCATGTGCAGTGGGCCCTGTAAGCCAGGGCCTCAGTGGTCTGCACTCATAAATTCCTTCATTTCTCTCTCATTGGCCCTGGCACCTTTGCAGCATCACTCAGGATTCCCTGGCATCAGGGGGTGTGGTGGAGTTGGAAGGCGCTGGGGGCGGCTGTGTCTAGAATTAGAGCCTGGGACTCTGCACATGACCCCGCCCCAGCTTTCAGCCCATTGATCAACTCTGACTGGCACACAGTACTGCTGATGGCCAGGCTGCAGGTGATGTTATCCTCCCTCCACACCCCACATGGAGTCTTCCAGGTCTCCCAAGGGCCTCCACTTCCCCAGCTCACTGAGCGTGATCCCACCAGAGAAGCCTGTGTGGCTCTAGTCCAGCTGGTCTCCATGGGAACCTCTCCATCTCTCTCCCTCAGCCCCGTTGCCCTGCTGGGACTGTCCTCCAGGTCTGTGGTGGGCACCTACACTCGGTTTTTCTTGTGGGGAGAAACAAAGCAAACAGTCACATCTTGAGTTCCTGAGTCCTGGGGAAAGAAAGAGATGAAAGGATTCAACTTCTACTCACTGCCTGTATCCCACAGAGGAAATGAACCCCGGGGCTTAACCTTTGCATCTAGAGTCCTCAACATTTGATCCATGCTTTTTAAAACTAATTTATTTTAATATCAGAAGAAAGAAGTATTAGAGCCTGTGGAGGTTTGAATGAGAATGTCCCTCATGGCCTCATTATCTCCATCATCACCATCAGTTATCACCATCACCATCATCATCATCACCATCATTATCACCATCACCATCACCGTCATCACCATCATCACCATCATCACCATCATCACCATTATTACCATGATCACTGTTATCACTATCATTACTGTCATCACCATCATCATCACCATCCCTGTCATCAACATCAGCATCACCATCATAATCATTAGTAGCATCAATTCCAACATCATCACTGTCATCATCAACACCATCACCATCATCACTATCATCATCATCACCAGCATCATCACTATCATTATCATCATTGTCATCATCATCAACACCATCACATCATCATCATCACTATGATTATCACCATCACTGTCATCATCGTCATCACCATCATCACCACCACCATCACTGTCATCATCATCATCACCATCATAATCATTAGTATCATCAATGCCAGCATCATCACCATCACCATCATTGTCACCATCACCACCATCACTGTCTTCACCATCACCATCATTGTCATCATCACCACCATCACTGTCATCACCAGCATCATCACCATCATCATCACCATCACCATCATAATCACCATCACCATCATTGTCACCATCACCACCATCACTGTCATCACCAGCATCATCATCATAACAATGATCATTGTCATCACCACCATCACCATCTCTTTCACCACTTCCACCACCCCAGTGTCATTATCATCGCTGTCATCGTTACCAGCGTCACCTTTATCATCATCATCACTGCTGCATATTAGCTCTAGAATGTTCCCCACAGGCCTACATGTTGAAGGTTTGGTGCCCAGCCTGTGGCACTACTGAGAACTGTGGACCATTTAGAAGATGGGGCCCAGTGGAAGGAAGCTAGGTTGCTGGGGGGGGTGGTTACCACAGAAGGGGATATTGGAAGCCTGGCCCCTTCCTCTCTCTTTGCTTCTTGGCCACTGTGAGATGAGCAACTTGCTTGGCACTCTGCCAAGATGTTATCGCCTTGGCACAAGTCCAAAAGGAATGGGGGCAATGGACCACAGACTGGAACCATTGTCTCCACCATACTACCACTGTTACCACAGCATCACCTTCATCCCCATCATTATCATCATAACAAGCCTCACCATCACTGTCGTGTACTGTGCATGTGTGTACATAGATGTGCAGGTGAGCGCACTTGTGCATGCACATGAGGAGGCCAGAGGTCGACCTAGAGTATCTTCTCTATCTCTCTCCACCTCATTTTTCTGAGACGGGGTCTCTTACCGAACCTGCAGCCCACCATTTTGACTGGAATGCTTGGCCAGCAAGCCCTGATACATACCAGTTTCCCCAGCACTGGGGTTATTGCACACAATGCCACATATGGCTTTTATGTGGGTGCTGGGATAGCAACTCAGGTTTTCATGCTTATACAGCAAACACTTTACCCACTGGGCCATCTCCCCAGCCCCATCACTCACTGAATCTCACCCCCTGTGTGACCCTATGTAGTGCCTGGAGACATCTTTGGCTGTCTACACTAGGGTGGTGGTGGGCTTTGTTACTGGCATCTACTGGGCAGAAACAGTGGCACTCAACACCCTACCATGCCAAGACTGCTGCCTTGATCCCCCAGCCCCAGCTTCTGATCCTGGGGACCTACCTGTGCGCTCCCGGTTGAATGCTGATGCCCCTCCCCATCTGGCCTTGCCCCTGGCTCTTGAGGCCCAGCCTCTAGACCATTCTCCCCCCATTAAGCAATAGTCATCTGTGGGAGTAAATTATGATTAGGGTGTAGACCAGGATTCCATGGGGGTAGATGCCACCCAGGTCTGTCACAATGATGAGAAATATTGTCAAGAAGCCTGAGATGTAGAACTCATTGCGGACGACAGGTGGTGGTCCTGGATGGAGAGACAACAGGGCATCAGGACACCGTGGCTCTTCACCCATCACTCACCTGTCCACTCACCCACATCCTGGTTCTTCAAATATTCACCAGCACCTCTATGTGCCATGCACAATCCAGGTACCAGGGATACATCCATGAACATAGCCAACCTCTTGAAGCCAGCGAGATGATTCAGCAGGTGAAGCCCTTGCCTGAGCAAGCCTGTGCTCCATCCCTACAACTCATGTTAAAGTAGAAGGAGAGAACCAACTCCACAAAATTGTCCTTTGACCTTTACTGGTGCATGCTACTAAGTATGCACCCCCCAAACACATCATACACACACACAATAATAATAATAATAATAATAATAATAATAATAGTAATAATAATAATAATAAAACAGGCTGGAGAGATGGCTCAAAGGATGAGAGAGCTGACTGCTCTTCCCAGCACCCACATGGTCCAGTTCCAGGGGATCCAATGCCTTCTTCTGACCTCTGAAGACACTGCATGACACAGGTGCACTTACACTTGTAGGCCATACACTCATACATATAAAATAAAAATAATAAATAAAATATTTTTAAATAATAATAACAACCAATCCCTTGCCCTTCTGGGCAGACACCTAGGTGGGAAGCTATGATGCCTCCTATGGATTATCCCCGTGACTGGACTTAGAACCATTGAGGACACACATCTCTGGGCACACCTCTGAGGGCGTTTCCAGAGAGGGTTAGCTGAAGAGGGAAAACCTTTCCTGAATGCTGGTGGCATGTCCATGGGCTGCAGTCCCAGCTGAATAAAAATGAGAAAGCGAGCTGAGCACCAGCGGTCACGGCTTCTCATGCTTCCATTCCAGGATGTCATGTGACCACTGCCTGCCCTCCCTGTCCCATAGGCCATGAACCAAAATGAGTCTGTCAAGCACTTTCTCACAGTGACGAGGTGGTGACTAAGAGACAGGGAGTGGACAGCCAAGCATGCCTGGTGCGCCTGCTCCTGAGGACAAAGCATCTGAGGGCTGAGGTGCTGGTTACTCGGAGCATCAGCCTTCCGCACGGATACTCACTGAGCCCCAGCTGTATCTATCCTGGGCACTGTCAGGGGACAAGCGGTGAGAAGATGGCTCGCCAGCCTCTGCTCTCCTGAAGCTTCCAGTCCAAGGGAGTAGAAAACACGAATCCGAGGGTCTCAGAAACATGCGTGGCGGGCGCGTGGCGGGGCTCAGTGCACAGTGGAGTGGCAGGTGGACCTGCTCAGAGCTTTCCCGGGACAAGGCTGGCAGGTTCTCTGCACTGCTCTGAAGCCTTTTTTTTTTTTTTTTTTTTTTTTTTTTTTTGTCTTTTTGAGGCAGGGTCTCCCTGCAGCCTCAGCTGGCCTGGAATTCACTATGTAGACCAGGATGGACTTGAACTCACAGAGCTCTACCCTGCCTGCCTCTGACTCCTGAGTGCTGTGATTAAAGGTATGCGACCACCACCCTCCGTAGTGTCTATCGCCCACCTCCTACGCTCTCCCCTGGGAGGCAGTGTGTGGCACCTTCAAGGGCACAGGCAACTTTTGGGCCAGAACTCCTTCTGTGGGAGTCTCTCTGCTGTGCATTAGCACTGGAGCCTTGAAAAAGAACCCAACTCCCACCAGCTGTAAGGTGGGCACGCCTTTAATCCCAGCACCGGGGAGGCAGAGGCAGGAGATTTCTGTGAGTTCCAGGCCAGCCTGTTCCACATAAGGAGCTCTAGGCCAGCTGGGGCTACAGGGAGACCCTGTCTCAAAAAGAAAAAACTAAAAATGATGGTGGGGCAGCTGTAGAGATGGCTCCTCAGTTAAAGAGCACTGGCTGCTCTTGCAGAGGACCAGGGTTCAAGTCCCAGCACCTATGCTATCTAACAACCTTCCAGAACTTCACTTCCAGGAGAGTCACACTCTCTTCTGGCCTCTGTGGGCACTGTACAACACAGGTGCATGCAAAACATTCATACACAGAAAATAAAAATTAAAAACTCCCTGGGGCTGGATCCCCTCACGTGTAAGACAGAGGTGATAGTACTTAGTCACCTGCTCCACTCGGAGGCAGGGATGCTCACACAGGCCAGAACAGCACAGGGAAACTGCTCAGTAAATGCTGGCCAGGCTCGACCCCTGTGGGATCTGCCCTGACTCTGGGATGGAGACTCTGAGTGGACAGCTTCGGACCTTCCCTCAGAACACAGGGAGGGAATCCCCCAGAAGCCATGGCAAGGGAGAAGCCCCTGTGCCATGGGTGCTGCCTACACAAAAGCTCATAGGAGAGAGAGTTAGGTTGGTGGGGGCAGGCTGCACTCATGAGATGGCTGCACAGTCACCTCCCTGTAGAATGTCAGCTGGGTCACTGGGTTCTCCACGATGCACCGGTAAATGCCCATCCCTTCCAAGGACAGACTAGGTAGGGTCAGGTTGGCCTCCGAGGCGCTCAGCAGGGAGCTGCTGTGAATCCAGCTGTACTTGGGTTCAGGGCTGCAGTGGGAGGTACACTTCAACTCCAAGGCTGGAACCAGCTGCAGCCATAAGCAGGCCCTCAAAGACATCGGGCTGGGGCCACAGCACCACACAGTCATGTCCATGTGCACAGACAGGGCAGGAGACACCAGAGCTATGTCTCCAATGTTCCTGCCCCCAGGTCTCATTTTGTTCCCTCAAACCATGTGACACCCTCCAGCCACAACGTGCCCTCACTGTGCCCGAGCCTGCCCATGACCCACCTCAGGGAACAACAGCAACAACAGTATCTTCCACTATGAGACCCTGGATCTACCATGGGCCAGCCCCTGCCAGGCCTTCACTTCATAGTAAAACAGTCACAGCTAAAAACAAAACACTGCTCCCGCCTACTGTGTGCGGGGACTCAGCTAAGCTCTGTGTGTGTTCATGTTAAGTGGATAATTCCCCAAACTCGTGTGATTCGGTTCTGGGAATGATCCACCTTATAGATGAAAACCCTCAGAGGGGAGGATGGGGGTTCAAGTCCCCTGCTTGCATAGGGATTGGCTGCAGTCTCTGGGGTCTGAGTCTGGGTTCTAGCCTCTAACCCACAGACAGCTGCATGGAGGTCAGAGGTGATCTTCCTGTCCTCAGTATGGTGCCAGGGCCTCTTAGGAACTACAAGGACCACAGGCGGTAATGATTTGAGACATGTGAGTTTGATTTGCAGCTGAAAGTTGTCCCAGTGTTTGATAAACACAGAAGATGGTTCTGGCTGTTGAAAAAATTCTGAATGAACGTATTTATGAGTCCTGGTATTTGTTGCTGTATTTGGGATCCCAGGGCCTCAGGCATGCTAGACAGGGACTCTACCACGGAACCACATCCCAGCCCCTCACTTGGGGATTCTAGGCAGGGGCTCTACCTCTGAGCCACACCCCAGCCCCTCACTGGGGGAGTCTAGGCAGGGGCTCTACCTCTGAGCCACACCCCAGCCCCTCACTGGGGGAGTCTAGGCAGGGGCTCTACCTCTGAGCCACACCCCAGCCCCTCACTGGGGGATTCTACTCTCTTCCACTGATCTGTATTCCATCCCAAGATCAAGCTTTTAAATCCATCTTTCTGCTAAAAGCAGTATAGTCAGTGTAATTGGTATGAAAATAAAATGTGAAAGTGGTTTAAATTCAGAACAGAACAAAATCAGTAAACAGACCTGAGGGCTTCAGAACTTCATAGCTGAACATCAATTTAAGAAATCAGTTGTAGGTGCTGGAGAGATGTCTCAGTGGTTAAGAGCACTGGCTGCTCTTGCAGAGGACCTGGGTTTGATTCCCAGCCCCCACATGGCAGCTCACAACCATCAGTAACTCTAGTTTTAGGGAACCCAACACCCTCTTCTGGCCTCTGCAGGTATTGCACGACAAGGGTGCACTTAAACACATGCAGGCAACACACTCATACACATGAACTAAAAATAACAAACAAAATAGTTCAAAAAAGAAATAACTTGTAGGCTGCCTCTTCTGTGGTGTGTTCTTGTGGGGGGGGGGAGTGTTTGTGCACACGGGTATGTGTGCCAATGTTTGCATGTGCATGTTGGGACCAGAGGTCAACATCAGCTGCCTTCCTCAACTGGTCTCCACCTTATTTTGTGAGACAAGGTCTCCCAGTGAGTGTGGAGATTGTTGGTTTGGTTGAGCTGGCTGGCAGCAAGCCCCAGGGAGCCCCCGTCTCTACCTCTCCCTGTGCTGGGATCACAGGTAGGTCCCACCACACCCAGGTTTTACGCCAGTTCTGGGGACCCAAACTCATGTCCTCATTCTTGCATGGCAAATGCTCTACTGACGTGCCATCTCCCAGCCCCAGATGCCTTCTTTACACAAAAGCCAGGCCTCAATAAACTCACTCTGCCCATTTCTAATGTCCGACTTGGGATTCAGTCAGTTATGAATCCACAAGGCTAAAATCCAGAGCTGAGATTCAAAGGCAGACCAAGCTGACCACAAGCTGGCTCAGCCCAGCTCCTCTCACCCTGGCTTCCCTCCCACGACCCTCCACTCACAGGCCATGGTCAGGGAGAGCTCCTCACTTCTCTGGAGAATCTCCGGGATGTCTTCTATGGCACACTGAAGTTTGCAGTCATGACGGCTGACCCTGTGGATAAGCAGAGTCTTCCCATCTGGAGAAATTGTCATCTGGTTACTGCCGGAAGTTGGTATGGGGTTCACATGCCACTGAAGTTGGAGGGGTTGGTGAGACATTCAGAGGCCACAGAGTCCATGCCTTCCACCAGGGTGCTGGCGTTGGCTGACACTCAGGTTGCTTCTCAACTCTGGGTGAAGCAGAAGGAGGGGATTAGGAGTGGGGTCTGCTTCCTTAGCTTTGGTGCATGTTGAAAGTGTGGCATGTCAGAAGGAAGCCAGAGCCATAAGAAAGACCCCAGAGCTGAGAGGGGCTGAGGGGGAGGCGTGGGCACCAGGCTGCACAGCCCTGAGCTCTGCCTGAGTCTGTCTCTCAATAATGGTGAGTTCTCGGTCATCAACAGGTGGCCTACTGGTTGTTGGTTTTCTCTGTGCGTGTGTGTGTGTGTGTGTGTGTGTGTGTGTGTGTGTGTGTGTGTGTGTGTGTGTCTGTGTGTGTGTGCGACGGACCAGCCCAGACCGGAGCGCGGTGCCTACAGAGGCCAGAGGCAATGGATCCTCTGGAGCTAGAGTTACAGGTGGTTGTGAGGTGCCCAACATGGGTACAAGAGCAGTAAGCACTCTTAACCACTGAGCCATCTCTCCAGTCCTGTTTTTGGTTTCTGAAAGTGGATAGTGCAGTATAGCTCAGGCTGGCTTCAAACTCAAGATCCTCTTGCCTCAGCCACCCAGGCACTAGGATAATAGGTATGTGCCACTACACATGACCTCATGCATCTGTTTTCATGTTGTGCCTAGCATTTAAATAAATATTTGATGATGTAGCTTTGGCTAATGAATTGCCTCTCTACCTCAAAACCCTCTGCCTTAAACTTTGCCTTCACATCTCTGTATCTGTGAATCACTGCTTGTTTTATTTTAAATTTTATATGTAGTATTTTAGTTCTTCAAAGAATTCATTACTTCCTTTGAGCTAAAGTCTTGACGTAAAAATAACTATTCCATCTTACTTTCCACGAAATAAACACACTCTTTAATTGTCTCTCTATGCTCTCCTTTTGTTCTTTACTAAGCAGGCACCAAGGTGGCCTAGATCTGGCAAGTCTATCCATGAATTGTAATGAATACCATGAAACTTTCCTTCCTTGAATAATCACTCATCTATTATCTCCTACATAAACTCTTGATTCTTACTGTACTTATCTAGGAGTTTCCAAGGTTGCCTATTCTTAGCTGCTTTGATTACTGTATGTTTAGGTCTCAGGTCCCAGGTCTCAGGCCTCAAGTCTCAGGTCTCAAGCCTCAGGTCCCTACATCTCCCCTTATTATTTTGAGTGAGGCTTCTCAGGGATAGCCCCGGGAATGGGAGTCACGATCAGGTTGCCTGTCCTCAGATGCTGAAGTTGCCATTCCTTGGGTAACCATGATTGTCATCATGGCCCCTGTCTTAGGTTCATCAGACTGGGAGGGTCTTACCCATCATTGGGATTAGTCATGCATGTGATTATCAGGGGTCTATCCCATAAAGAGGGCAAAACAGCCTCACATTTTTAGGCCAACTCAAGCATCCAGGCCTAGACTTGTCTAGGGGAGGGGGGCCCGAGGGAGATTGACTGGACCAAGACTTTCTCTGTCTTGGCTTCTTGATGACTGAACAGAGACACCTGAGGAAGTATAGTATCAGATGACTAAGTTCCCAGGAAATCATCCATATCTAATTTCTCTTTAGGTGAGCCTAACGATCCGAGTAGGAACAAAACAATCTCTCTATGAAGAAAGAATAAGAATAATATTGCATCGATAAAGACAGGAACTAAAGTAGAACAGCCAAAGACACGGCATGCTCTTTTAACACAGCCATCTCCAGGAGGCATTCTTCCTTTGAAGTTTTCTCAGCCTCGACCTACGAAGAGTTCCTCACGCAGGCTCCACTAGAGGTGGCGTGATGTGTGTGTGTGTGTGTGTGTCTGTGTGTCTGTGTGTGTGTCTGTGTGTGTGTGTGTTTACAGGTGTGTGTATGTCTGTGTGCATGTTTATGTATGAGTTGAGGTACATACATGCTGCTGAATACATGACAACATGTACATGTCATGAGTATGACAACCTCGAGTTTCAGTCTAGACCTTCCACCTGTTTGGAACAGGGTGTGCTGGATGCCTCAGGTGTCAACTTGACATACCTGGGTGGAGGGAGCCTCAATTGGGGAATTGCTTCCATTGGATTGGCCTGTGGCCATGTGGGGGGATTGGGATTTTCTTGATTGTGAATGATATGGGAGGGCCCAGCCCACTGTGGGCAGTCCCACCCCTGGGCAGATGGGCCTGTGTTACATAAGAAAGCAGGCTGAGAAGGGCCCAGGGGAGCAAGCCAGGGAGCAATGATCCTGAGTTCCTGCCTTTGCTTCCCTTGACTGTGCTGTAAGCCAAATAAACTCCCCTTTCCAAGCTGGTTTTGGTCTGTGTTTTAAAATATTTTATTATTTTTATTTTATTTGTATGCATGTATTGCCTGTGTGAAGGTAGGTGCACCTGTGTCATGTGGAGGTCAGAAGAGGGTGTCAGATTCCCCTGGAACTAGAGTTATAGATGCTTGCTAGCTGCCATGTGGGTGCTGGGAATCGAACCCAGGTCCTCTGTAAGAGCAGCCAGTGCTCTTAACTGCTGAGCAATCTTTGCAGCCCCCTTGGTCAGTGTTTTTATCACAGCAGCAGCAGTAGCTAGAACACAAGTTCTTTTGTTGTTCACCTCTGTGTCCACCAGGTTCACTGGCCCACGAGTTCCCAAGGCCTCTCCAACTGTACCTCCCATCTCACTGCAGGAGCTGGGATTGTGCACACTCGCGACCATGTCCAGCTTTATGTGGGCTCTGGGGATGTGAACTCATACGTCCTTACTTTTACACATCAAGTGCTTTACCCACTGAGCCATCTCCACAGTGGTTGTTTTTAGACCCCCTGATTCAAGATCTGAGGAGCTGGAAGAGATGGCGTTGGACTATCCATAACATTGAAGCCACTGTCTGAATTCCATTTCCTTTATCGAATGCTCTCCAAACTTACAGAAAACCAGTGGTGGATATTTCCCCTTCCTTACAAATGGAGAAACTGAGGCACACAGTTCATCCTAGCCCTGGAGAACATTCTTTCCTGAAAGAAGACAGCTGACCCAAGGCCAAGTGATATAGACCAGAAGCTAACAGCGGGCTTCCTGTCCCATGGTGCCACCAGGAGCAGCTGTAGCAGACAGAATTCCAAGACAGCCCATGTTGCAATGTACCTATTTCTCCAGGCCTGGTGTGACCATCACCACCATGGGGTAAAGACTGCTGTGGTAAATGACACAATGCTGGGCGTTATAGCCATGAAAACAAAATAAAATACAGTGATAGCTAGGTCTGCGGTCATAACGGCCACCAGGAAATGACTTCAGCCACAAGCCAGAAAGAGGCTGGAAAGAGATCTTCCCTGGGTAAGTTTTCGAGTAGGAACATTACCCTGAGGGACCCTGCCTAGGATCCCCCAGTGAGGGCTGGGGTGTGGCTCAGTAGTGGAGCCCCTGCATAGCCTACACAAGACCCTAGGTTCAAGCTCCAGTATTACAAACATAAATAAAAATAAATAATTAGATGTTTGACTGCTAAGCTTGGGGCTACTACACAGCAGTAGAAAATGCATATCCTCTCCAACATGGAACTGAGCCTTGGTGAGTGGTCAACCTCAGCAGGAGAGGGTGCAGAGCCACCTCTATGGCCCCCAGCACCACCTGCAGGTTACTGAGACACCTGGGCAACATGCTTCCGAGTGCCATTCCCCAAGCCCTCAGATCCAGCTTTCCTTTCCAGTGGGGCGGTGGGTCACCTGTCAGCTCACCTAGGACCTCTGGCCAGCCAGTCTTTTTGACTCCCGTTTTCTGTGTCCAATGAGCCGTGTAGTTGCTGGTGTCATTTAGAGCCGACCTCCTGATCACCAGGTTACCTGTGCAGGTCACCTTCTCCCTGCTACTGTACAAGGGACCTGGGTGCCAGGTATTGGGAGGTTTATGGCTGAAAATCATGTTCCCTGCATTGTCATCTGGACCCTGGTACAAGCTGTATTCCAACACATCTTCTGGAACATTCTCCAGGGCCAGGAGGCTCCAGTATCTTTCAGGCCCTGTGAGGGAGTCTGGGCTGATGAAGATATGGCTAGAAATGTGGTAGAGTCCAAAGAGTCCAAAGGCCATCAGAGTGGCTAGGGGTGGAGAGAGAGAGAGAGAGAGAGAGAGAGAGAGAGAGAGAGAGAGAAGAGAGAGAAGAGAGAAGAGAGAGGGAGGAGAGAGAGAATGATTTCTACAAATGATGGTGTATAACTGTTACGGTGTGAATCTGAAATGCTTCACACACACACATACACAGACACAGACACACAGACCACACACACACACACACACACACACAGAGGCTCAGATTCTGGATGCCGAGTCCACTGCTGGTAGTACTATTTTGGGAGGTGAGGGGGTGAGGTTTCTGGGACTGCCTCCCATCTTACCTTGTCACCAAAGTTAATCCTGTATTTTGAGATAATTTAATATTGCCTATTCAAACTGTCTTCCTACTGTATGTTCATCTTATGTAAATTGAGCTAGTCTTCAGGAGAACAATGCAAGCAAACCTACTAGGTGTTGGTGTCCTGTGTAATCAACCATTACTTGCTAAGCTAAACCTATGGCTTTCACCTTACCTGTGCTCCCTGTTTCTCCCTCATGATCCTCCCTTGCCCCTGACACAGACTGATAGACCGGTGTGTGTGTGTGTGTGTGTGTGTGTGTGTGTGTGTGTGCACGTGCGCATGCAAACACCTGTGTGCAGTGTGCCTATGAAAAGATGGGGAAGTAGGCTTCCTTTATATGCATACTAATCCTATGGAGAAGACATCCTAACTTTATCAATTCATTTACTTAATAATCTGATAAGGCCCTGTTTCCAAATATAGAAAAAAAAACATATACATTATACCCTTATATACAAACATAAATTTTGCCAGCTAACGTACCTTATATCCTCAGGCAACTAACCTTAGGTAAAAAATGAAGCATAGGCAGTGTGTGCGTGCGTGTGTGTGTGTGTGTGTGTGTGTGTGTGTGTGTGTGTGTGTTGGAAATATCTTCACTTTTAGGAACAACCTTGGATGCACATTGAAAGGAACAAATTATCCATAGTATATGTTACAAACAACATGTGACTCTAGATTGATAACATCAGCCATATGCTGTGCTTGGTCAGTAGGGTCAGAAAAGGAAAATTCTTCCCTGATAAGAAGTCTGATTAAAGATTCTTTGAGACAAATTTCCTCGTTTCTTTCCTATATGATGCTGAATGTGGTGTAAATAAATGCAGAGAAACAGTTCTGAGAACAGATCCGGCTCACTCGTGGTCTAAACGACTTAGTCTTTCTTGAGTCAGGCACCAGCCACAGGGAGACTGTGAAACCCTTAAGGTGTGGAATGTATGTGCAGGAAGCAGGTCGCCAAGGGTGAGCCTTCGAAGGTTAGACCCAGCCCCTGGTTTCCGCCTAGCTGTGCCTCCTTGTCTGTCTTGGTGTGAAGAGCCACCACTGCCACAGACTCACAAACTGAGCCATTCCCTCAAGCCCTCCCCACCACCATGATGGACCGAAACCCTCTGATGGTGAAGCCAGAATAAACCTCCACTCCCTGGGTCCTGTCAGATACTGTAGCCATAGTGACTCAAAAGTAACTACAATGGTAAGTTAGAGTTTCCAATCAGTTAGGGCTGGAGCGATGACTCAGAAGTTAAGAGCATTGACTGCTCTCATTGGGGACTCGGGTTCAGTTCCCAGCACCCACAGAGAGGCTCAGAGCCATTTGTAACTCCAGTTCCAGGGGATCTTCTGGCCTCTGCAGGCACTGCATGCACATAGTGCACATACATACACCCCAGCACACACATACACATACACAAAAATAAATAAATCCTTTAAGACCCTCCCTTTCCACTTCCTCAGCCCCTGCCTGATCCATCTGCCCACTTCCCTCATCCAATCCATCTTCACACCATAGTCTTAACAAAGGCCAAGCTGTGATCCTACTCCCCTCTCCCCGATGAGCCTCTGCACCTCCCTAGTGTTTGAATAATTAAGAGCCAACCTATTCACATGGTTGAGACGCCCTCAACAAGGGCTGATCTTTTTTAAATACTTTATTATTTTTATTTTATGTGTATGAGCATATTGCCTGCATGTATGTAAGGGCACCCATGTCATGCAGTGCCCATGGAGGTCAGAAGAGGGCATCAGATCCCCTGGAACTGGAGTTAGATGGGTGTTAACCGCCATGTGGGTGGTAGGAATCAAACCTGGATCCTCTGCAAGAGCAGCCAGTGCTCTAACCACTGAGCCATCTCTCCAGCCCCAAGAGCTGGTCTCCATGACCTCTAGCCTCCCTTTGGTCCTCTCCTCTCCTCCACACACACCATCCTTCATGAATGTATTTTTAGGGAGACAGGCGTGTGTGTTCTGTGCCCCAGCCATACACCACCCCATCCTAGCTCTGGGGTCACATACGCTGTCCCCTGTTGCTGACACATGGATCCCAGCTCCACCCTCCCCATTTGTAACTTCCCTGTGGACTCTCGTCTCCCTCTGGGCCAAGTGACCCTCTCTGGTTTCCTAGCACCCAGCCCACTGCACCCCTGTCCTAACCACTAAGACTATCAGAATTGGGGGCTAGATCTGTGAGCTCCAGGCAGGCAGGACTGGGCAGTGCATCAGCCCTGAGTCCCCAGCACCCTGAGAGGGCGTGGGGAGCACCGATGATCTGAGCATGAGTGCCACCAAGCCTCCCCAGAGACTGTCTGAGCCAGCCTGAGTGCGCGTGTGAATTGCAGGAGTGGGTGTGAAAGGGACAGGAGCTGTCACCGCTCAGCAGGGCTGGCGTCCCCTGCTCTGTGGTGCCTGAGGCCCCACTCCACACCACACCTCAGAGTGAACGCTGCATGTTCAAGGGCAGTACCTGTGTCCACCAGCAAATCAGGGCAGCCATGAATGTTGGAACACAAAGGCTCTGGGGAAGTCAGGTGTTAGAAAGGGACCCAGCCTGCGTAGAAGGGCATCTGGGTAGGGGAACCCCAGCGACTAAGGGGTGACCACAGGGAAGTGAAGGTCCAAGTTCATCAGACCACAGGGCAGAGAAGTGAATGTTTGTGTGCCTGTGTCTGAACGTGTGTCTGTGTGTGTGCCTGTGTGTGTCTGTGTCTACTTGGGTTTCTCTGCACTCTCGGGTGCACATGTGTGTGTGTGTGTGTGTGTGTGTGTGTGTATGTATGTATGTATGTCTATGCGTCTGTATATGTCTATGTGTGCACCTGTATACCTGTTTCTATTTGTGTTTCTCTGTATCTGTGTATCTGTGTGTGTACCTGTGTACCTGTATCTGTGTTTCTGTGTATGTATGTATGTATGTATGTATGTATGTATGTATGTATGTGTCTGTGTGTGTACCTGTGTACCTGTGTCTGTGTTTCTGTGTGTGTGTGTGCATCTGTGTGTGCACCTGTGTACCTGTGTCTATCTGTGTTTCTGTGTGTGTGTGTGTGTCTAGGGCACAGGCATACCCAGGTGTGTGAGCTCAGGAGCATCCTGGTGAGGGTCCTGTCCCTTCTGTTTCCTCCTTTCCTCTTCCTGCTTCCACCCCGGGGCTCCTGGGCTGTGACCCATATAATATTGTTTTTGACCCCTGCCCGGCTGAGCTGCTGGCTGCCATCCCTCAGCCTCAGAAGACCGGTACCTCTTCCCTTAACCCACAAAGGTGAGCTACCTCCAGGGGCTGCAGCTGGGCCTGGACTGGTCCATGAGCTTCCTGGTCCTCCAGAGCTGGGCAGGCTCCACTGCACTGCGCAACGCTGGTCTCCCCTCCAGTGTGGCACCTCCCAGGAGGGACTCTGCACGGTGGGGAGGTGGGCCCTCGGAAGTTAGTCCTTATCTTTATGGTTTTATGTCATTTGTTATTTATCTTACATTCATGTCTAGTGACATTATATTTTTCCTGGTTGTGAAAACACTAGATCCCTGTCAGGAAAACCAGAAACTTTGAGAAGCATCACAAAGACCTTTAATGTGTCTACTGTTGTTCTTGCCCTACGCCCACCCCTCCCACCACCGCCAACACTTGGGACTGAACCCAGGACCTTACATGCCAGGCAAATGTTATAGCACCAAACTCCACCTCCAGGCCCAAATTGCATTTTTGTGTATACATGTGTTCTGGGGATCAAATCCAGCACTTTGCACATGTTAAGATAAGACCTTTGTTTTTTAAAAATATATTTTAGTTATTATCCTTATTTTAGGTATACGAGTGTATTGTCTGCATGTATGTAAGTGTACCCTTGTCATGCAATGCCCACATACATCAGAGGAGGGCATCAGATCCCCTGGAACAGAGTTATGGATGGTGGTTAGCCACCATGTGGTGCTGGGAACTGAACCTGGGTCCTCTGCAAGAGCAGCCAGCACTCCCAACCCCTGAGCCATCTCCCCAGCCCAAGACCTTTGTTTTTAAAACTTATCTATTTATTTATTTTGTGTGTAGGTGTTTGGGCACGAAGGTCAGCAGACAACTTGCAGGAGTTGGCCCTCTCCTCCCACCATGTGGGATTGAACTCAAGTCATCAGGCTTGGCAGCAGACACCTTTACACACTGAGCCAAACCCAAGATGGACAGCCATCCTGGGGTTGACCTCTGGCTGCTACATGCACACACATGTACACTCTATCATCCATCTATCTATCTGTCATCTGTCTATCATCTATAATGATATTATGATAATCAAAATATAGATATTAATACATGTGGGATATAGAGATAGATATGTGGCTATAGATAGATATAATTACTGACAATAACTGTGACCTATAGCTATCAACAGTTTTTAGTGAAATTGAAATTTTTTTAAATTTTCAATTTATTTTTATTATTCATATATGAGTGTTTTGCCTGCAGGTACATAAATGCACCCAAATCATGCAATGCCTGTAGAGACCAGAAGTGGGCATTAGATTCCCCCTAGAGAACTGGAGTTCCAGTCAGATGTTAGCCAGCATGTGGGTGCTAGGAACTAAATCTAGGTCATCGGCAAGAGCAGCCAGTGCTCTTAACCATGGAGTCATCTCTCCAGGACCCCCTCCCCACTTTTTATTTTGAGACAGGGTCTTACTACGTGGCCCTGGCTGGCCTGAAACTTGCTATGCAAACTATGCCATGTCAGTTTAAGTTAGAAATAGTAGATGGGGGACCGACCACTTTTTCAAATTAGGTATAAAAAGGAGAGGCCATCTTGACAACGTGTATTTGCTGAATTCACAACGGCCTGCCCCCTTTCCGCAAAAGTAAAACTTGGGGCCTTGCAGAAATGCTTTGGATTATGTGGTCATTTTCTTGGGATCCCAGACCCATTTCTAACACCCTGATGGAGAATGCATGCACATGTGAGGATGGGTCTCATCTCTGGGATCTGAGGAGAGCCAGGTCGGCAGCTTATGTTTAAAGACTCAGTAGCTCAATGGGAGTGAGATAGAACCTACCATGATATACTGGGGCCTAAATGTTTACACTTGTGCTCAGATTCTCATATTAAAATTGTAATTCCCCCTGGTGGTGATGCTAACAGGTATGGCCTTTGGAAGGTGGTTGGCTCATGGGGGTAGTGCCTTCATCAATGAGATTTACACCTGCTTGGGTTTCAATGTGTCCTCTGCTAACTCATGCTGATAGTCCATCATCAATGCAATGTATAGTAGGTGGAACATTTAGGACAATGTTCAGGCATCCTCATGAAGTGGGATAACCAATCTTATAAATGACCAGAGGGAACCAGTTAGGCCCCCTCCAACACATGGCAAAGGTGTTTGCAGCACCATCTTGAAGCAGAAGTCAGGCTCTCATCAGACACCAAACAACAGTGCCTTCTTTATCATCTTGGCCTCCAGATCAGTGAGAACTGGGTTTCAATGGCTTATCAATGGCTTAAGTGACCATTCTCACATTTTATTAGAGCTGCACAAATGGACTAAGGCAGTACCCTTAGAAAAGAGAGCCCCAAAGGCCGTCTGTTATGTGACGATGGGGGAAGGTGCTAGCTATGACCTGGAGGCAGTCCTCGTCAGGCACCAAACTGCCAACCTTTGTGTTATGACATCCTGGCTTCCCGAATCAGGCAAAATCAATGTGTTGTCCATAGCTGCCCAATCTACATTGTTCTTACAGATGAACAGACTAAAACACTCATGTCTTGGAAAGTGTTTGGGTCTTTGATGTTTGGACACCTGGGTTGGCACCCTGGCTCTAAAGCTTCACATTGATTAATTCAACGTCTTAAATTTTTTATTTTTTATTTTTGTATGTGTGTACATACACCCATGCATGTAGCATGTGTGGGGGTGCCCTTGGAGGCCAGAAGGCATCATATCCCCTGGAGCTGTAGTTACAGGTAGTTGAGAGCAGCCCAGCATGGGTGCTGGGACCCAAAATCAGGTCCTCTGATAGAGCAGTGAGGCCCCTAAACACTGGGGCATCTGTCCAGTCCCTGGCTTCAATCTTTCCGTGCCTTGGTTGTTAGCTCTGAAAACAGGTATCTCTTTTATTTATTTATTTTGGGGGGGGGACGACAGAGTCTCCTTGTAGCCACAGCTGTCCTGGAACTCACTATGTAGACCAGATTGGCCTCGATCTCACAGAGATCCACCTGCCTCTGCCTCCCAAGTGCTGGGATTAAAGATGTGAGCCACCACAAAGGATTCTTTGCATTTATGGCACCTGCCCAACTGAACAGCCCTGCGGATCCTGAAGTGTGACTGCTCTGTTTGCTGGCCTCTGTCCCCCTGGTACTTTGCCCCTGAGGGTGGGAATGAGGTGCCCTGGGGGAACACGGTCTCTGCCTCCCTCCTGCATAGTTCTGTCCTATGGGTCCCAGCACAGGCAGCAAATGTGATTTTCTGCCATCTCTGCTCCAGTGGAGACCTCAGCAGACAGGCTGATGCACCGTCCATGCTGGTGAAGGCGATCTTCAGTCTACAATCCAAACACTGACCTCTTCTGGAAACACTCTCACAGCTACCATCTCACTGTCCCCTACCTTTTATAAGAATACTAATGCTATTCACAAAGACCCCCACCTTCCAAACGCTTCCACATCTAAGTGTCATCACCATGTAAGTTAGAACTCCAATATGATTTGGGAGGGGGGACCTCAAATATTCAGATCATAGCAGCAATTGACAGGTGCATGTATGTCTTCCATCAGAGGTGACACGACAGTAAAAACGAAAGATCCTCTGGTCCACTGAGGACACTCTCACTCGAGACGTACCACCCTGAACACAATCAGGACCAACAGGATACTGCCTTCCACCCCTTCAGGCCACACCAGGGCCACATACCTGGGGCTATTCCCTCGTTTCTAAGAGGAGAGGCCACGCACAAAGGAAACTGGGAAGACACTACTACCAGGCGTGAACGAACATCTACTCATCCTGGAAGGGAAGTTGATGACAGACCAAAGTAAGGATGCCACCAAAGTCCAACTTGGTGAATCAATGAGTTTACAGGGCTGACTCAAAGACAGCTGCATCACTGAAGCACTGCAGTTATCATGGGTGATGATCATGAAAACCGGGAGCCTGGAGCTCACTGTGTGACATGTCAGAGAGCGCCTCTTCCAGGCTGCCCTGCTGGCCTGTCTCCTCAGTGGTCCTTATTGGTTATACAACCTTAGGGATGGAGGGGCTTTAGGCATCTGGTCAGTTTTCAGAGACTCCCTGAGACTCCTGAGCTGTCTACTTCCAGAGACTTTATGAGCAAGCCTCTCTCTAGAATTTCCTAAGTCTTAGGAAGCTTGCCTCCAGGCTGAAAATGTTTTAACTAGGAGGAAATTGCTACACAACATGACCTCTCTGGCCCATCACGTTTTTGGCATCTGTCTGGCTCTCCAACAATGGACAGTCCCTCAAGGGCATGAGGGCAGTTTGCCACGTTGGCCTCCAGCCCTAGCCTAGAACAGATGCCAGGTGAGTGCATGGACAGCTGCCGTCAACACTTCACCTAAGATTATCGCTCATTTCTTATTCCGCTCCGCAGAGGTCCACACGGAACCACCATCCTTGTAGAACTCACAGCCTCTGGGGTCTGCTGCAGCCTCTCAGCCTTCAGCTGTGAGGCTACCCTGTGTGTTGAAGGATGTCGAACAGCACCCTTGACCTCTACCTGATAGATGGGAAGAGCTTGACCATATCCCCATTGAGGTGTTACCGTATAAAATGTCTCCCCACGTTGTCAGGTGTTGAGGGAGGACATTGCGTCCAATGGGGAAACAGTCTGAGGCCACACTGTGACTTCCTCACACCCAACAGGAAGGAGCCACTCCCTCGCACACTATCGGGGTGCCCCAAGTCCTTCAGCCTGGACAATAGCGCTCCTAGACCATGGTGTCACCTACTTCTCATGTTCAGAGGTTCCTGAAGGACCTTCAGAAGGCAAGCTGGACATCTCTAAAAACTGCCAACAGCTTGTGAATCTGGACAAATGACCCTGTGATGCAGTGAAGTGTGACGAGGGGGCAGGACACATCAGAGGGCCTCTAACATCTATGGGGCACGCGGTCCCGCGGGGATTGGTCCCCTGCGCGCGCCCTGGAAGGCAGCGAGTTCCGCGGGGTTGGCTTCTCTGTTCTCAGTCGCGCGTCGCTGTCCGCCGCTTGAGGTGCTGAAGGTCTCGCAGCACTGCGGCTCCACGTCTCTGTTGTGGTAGCGGGTCTCAGCTTCTCCGCTGCTTCCCTGCGTCTTCCGTGGCTCTCTGCTGCTGGAGCTTTGTCCAGCCGAGTCCCGCCCTAATTTCACCCGTGCACTTTCCTCAATATGCGAGTTCCACCGGCCGCTGGACCACGCGGGAAAGTACGGGGCGGCTGAAGCTGGGTGTCCGTGAGTCGATGACGGAGGAATGCTGCCCCCCGGGGAGACTAGATTGCAGGCAGGAGACACAGAACTCAGTCTACAGCTCTTTATTCCAAGTATCAGTGACCCAGTTCTCGCTCTAGCTCTAAGTCTGCTTCTAGCTCCAAATATTGAGAGAAGACTAGGATATTTATACCATGGGGGTAGTGGTAAAAGCTTTGGCTGTTAGCCCTATTTACATATGGAAGTGGGCTCCTGCCAGGTTGCCAGACTGCCTGAAAAATCACACAGGAAAGCATGGTAATTCCAGAGCTAGAGGCCATGTTTATGTTAGGGCATTTGTGGCGGGCACTTCAAAAGGGTGAGTCAGGAGGATGCTAGGAAAAGCACTCTATTGTTAAAAGGAGTCTCTGCATTTTATGCCGAGCCCATGGGCTATCTGGTCATGAAGGAACTTCTACTTCACACAACAGAGGTCCCCAACAAACATCTCTCCGGCCAGCATCTGCCCTGAGGTTCTTTCTGCTCTCTGCAGAGGATGACTCAGCCGCCTACGGGTCTGAGGTTCACCTCCTGTGAACCAGGCACTCTGGCTCCCTCTCAGCTGCCCCAGTGCTTCTCCCACATGTACCCTCCCTTCTCTGATCCCGCCCAACACCCAAACACCTCCCACCATAATGGTGCTGTCCCTGCTCTGGCCAGATGAGTGGGCTTGGGGTCAGGGGCTGTGACAAGCTGACCTTTCTTCTTCCCACACAACTCCTGGCACAGAATTGATGCTTTCCCACGAGGCTATCAGAATCAGTGATCACTGAGGGTTTGCAGTGTCTTTCCTGCAGATCATCCTACCATGCCTCTTTCCTGAACTGTCCCTGTTTCCAGCTACAGATTCCAAATATAGGTAGCCACAACCATAATGCCCCAGGGCAGATTCCACCACCTTTGCTCTATGAACATCAGTTACAGAGGAAATAATGGTCCTTCAGGAGAAAAAGGACGTTTCAAATGGAACACATCTGTGATCGGTAAACCAAGGTTCCAGAGGTCACTAGGGTCTACACAACCAGCTGGGATAGGGCCCGTCCTGGGAAGGGTGGAGGGCAGACTATCAGGGGTCCAGCATCCTGGCAAGCTCTGTACCCTGGGCCTGAGAGCAGGGTCTGCCTGCCACCTTCTGGATGTCATCTGCCCTCACCCCCGACCTCAAGACACAGCACCAACCTCATCCGTCAAGGAGCATTCCCTGGAGCTAGTGTATTTATGGAGAGAACAATCCAGGCAGATGTGTCCTTTGAGTGCCAGGCCAGGGCTGAGAGTTTGTGGTGGTGTCTAAGAGCCCGGTTAGGTTGGGGGGGGGGCATGGAAGGGCCTGTCCCTCAACCTTTCTGTGCTCTCTGGAGTGATGGTGGGGGGTGCCGCCTTACCTCACTCTCACGTTCTTCCTTGCTAAGATGCTGCAAAGAACCCCTACAACCAGAGGAGCTGGCCAGGTAGAGAGCATCCCTGGACTGGGGGACAAGGCCTCTTCAGCTCAGGGAAGGGCATGTCCCTCTTCGTCTTACAGAGACCATTTGCTGGGGAACCAGTGAACCCTCCCCATTTGCAGCCCCCTGACCCACTCTGGTACCTGCTCCTACCAAATTCCACTCTATGCATCCTGCACTGGTACCCTTGGTCACCCAGGGGCAAGGCAACATTCACCCAGCAGAACCGCACATTCTGGACCTTCCTCGTCCACCTCCAGGACCTCCTTTCAGCCTGGGCTCTTTATTCCCCTAACAGCTTTATTGTTTGTAGTGCAGGCTGTAAAGTTCTTTATGAGTACTGGACAGTAGTCCCCTGGAACTGAAGTTAGAGAAGGTTGTTAGCCGCCAAGTGGGTGCTGAGAACTGAACCTGGACCCTCTACGAGAGCAGCCAGTGCTCTTAACCGCTGTTCATCTCTCTAGCCCCTAATAAACAAGTTTTAATTTTGATAAAGAGAAAGATGTCGTCTTTGCTCAATTGCAAGACACTTAGGGTGTGAGGTGAGGCAGGCCCAGGCTGATATAGCTCCATATCTGGGGATGAAGGAAGGTCTGGAAGACAAACACCCAAACCTGCGGTGACAGGAAGGACCCAGACTGCCATTACAGGTGAGTCCAGCCCAGGTCATCATTCCGCAGAAGCAAAGCCCATGACAAAGATGGTTCTAGTGGCTGTCAGAGTTTCTTGGGTTCTGCTTCTTCTTCCCTGGGTGAGCACACTGCCCCTGGAACACGGAGGTATGGGCCAGGTATCCAGTGGATCCCAGGGTACCACCGCTGAAGGGAGCCAAAGAGTCAAGCCCTGTTCTCATCAAACTCAAATTTTATTTCATTTTTGAGTGTTTTGCCTGCATGTGTGAAGGTACCCATGTTGTGCAATTTCTGCAGAGGTCAGAAGAGGGCACCATATCCATAGAACTGGAGTTATGGATGGTTGTTAGCTGCCATGTGGGTGTTGAGAACCAAACCCGGGTCCTCTGCAAGAGCAGCCAGTGCTCTTAACCACTGAGCCAGCTCTCCAGCCCTATCATCAAATTCTTAGTGTGATGGAGAGGTTGTGAACACAGCCACACACAGGATGGGTTATGCAGGAAGATCACTGTAGAGTAGGCACTAAGGGTAACCTGATCCTCAACAGTAGGGGAAGAGCATGCAAAACAAGCATCAGCAGAGTGGGACCTGTCCATGCTGGATGCTGAGGCTGACACAGCCCCACCTGCACACTATGTGCCCTAGCACTACAAGCCAAGGCTGATCCAGCCATAGGCCCCACTCTATAGACCACAACACAGAGGCTTAGAAATACTGAGTTGCTCCCTGGAGGAGCAGCACAGCTCGTGTCTAGTGTTATTAGACAGTTTTTAGAAGGCCAGGCTAGAAAAGGCCAGAGACCTGCCCTCACAAAGGTAATGTGGCACCGAATGGCTTCGGGCCAGCCTCTCACTCTGGCCAACCTTTTGCAGCACGTGCAAAGCAAAACAGGGAAGACTGGGTGTGAGAGACTGGACCCTGTGAGGCTGTGAGGAGCAGTGAGAGATCTGCAAAGGGAAGAACGACTGTGTCCTTTCCCAGAACATCACAGACACTCCCGTGGCCATTTCTGGGGGTACGAGTGCAGCTGTGGGGTACTCCTTTACCAAAACCATCACCCAACCCAGAATTCATCTCTTTTGCACCTGCTAACACAAGCCAAGCCAAGGGTGACGGAGGAGCTGCCCTCATCGGTCCAGGTCTCTTGTGCAGGAATCCCAAACGAGGCTGTCTATTCCAACACCAGCCAGCTCTGCCCTGTGGACATCAGTAAAAGGATCTACCAAAAGCATTGCTTCATCCAACATCAGTAAGTCTGGGGTGAGCCTTCCACATGCCCAACCTGACCCTGGGTTCCAGAGAACTGGTCTAAGAACTGCCCTTGTATAAGTTGCCTGGTGTCTACTGCAATCTGATCTGTTGAAGCCTTCCCACATTCAGAACACACATAGGGTCTCTTCCCAACATAAAACGGATCATTTGCGTTCAGTTAAAATGCATCACTTAATGATTTCCCAGTCAGGGCACTGAGAAGGCTTATCTTCCTTGTAAATTCTCTAGCGCATGCTGAATATCAACTTCTAGTTGAAGGGCTTCCCACAATCAGGCACACGAGGGGTTCTCTTGTGTGTGAATTTGCTGATGTATGATGGAGGATTTTCTACAGCCACTATATTTTGAGGCTCTTCTCCAGTGTGAAATCTCTGGTGGAAGATCGTTCCAAAATCAGAAAAAGCAGTCTCTACTTGTGATTGATCTGATGATGCACTTCTAGCTGGAAGCACTGCTGAGACGAACCACGGTTGCCGCACTGCTAACAGCTCTCCTCAGTCGTTATGCAACATGAAACAGTTTTCCACAGCCGTGGCTTTCCTAAGGCTTCTGTCCAACGTGTTCCCTGGCAGGATGCCAGGGATGACCTCCAGATCCCTCTTTCCTTATTTGTGACAAATGGTCTCTCGCTAGTGTGTTAAATGGTGTCTACGCAGCGATGACCTGCTACTGAAAGCTTTCCCACATTCAGGGCACACATACGGCTTCTCGCCCGTGTGAACTCGCTGGTGATCTTGGAGCTGACTCTTAGAGGTTAAGGCTTTTCCACAGTCACTGCATTTGTAAGGCTTCTCACCAGTGTGGATTCTCTGATGCATTCTGAGTACTGACTTCTGATTAAAAGCTTTTCCACACTCGTTACATACATGGTGCTTTTCTCCAGTATGAATCTTTTGGTGTAGATTGAGGGATAATTTCCAGCAGAAGGTCTTCCCGCATTCGGAACACACATAAGGTCTCTCCCCGGTGTGAATTCGATGATGCACCTTCAGGTGGGATGTCTTACTGAATGATTTTCCACAGTCCTGGCATTCATAAGGCTTCTCTCCAATGTGAGTTTGACGATGGGAGGCCAACTCGGACTTCTGGAGGAAGGATTTCCCACATTTTTGACAGATGAAAGGTCTATCCCTGGTATGTGTCATCTTATGCGTATGGAAACCTGACCTGGCACTGAAGGCCTTCCCACACTCTGTGCATACATAGGGTTTTTCTCCTGTGTGGATTCTCTCGTGTACTTGGAGTTGGGCCTTGGCAGAGAAGGCTTTCCCACAGTCACCGCATTTGTAGGGCTTCTGCCCTGTATGAATTCTCTGGTGTGTGCTGAGGATTGACTTCTGATTGAAGGCCTTCCCGCATTCAGAACACACATAAGGTCTCTCCCCAGTGTGAATCCGATGATGTATCTTCAGATGGGTTCTGTTACCAAATGATTTCCCACAGTCACGGCATTCATAAGGTTTTTCCCCAGTGTGAATTCGATGATGCACCTGCAGGTGGGATGTGCGGCGGAATAATCTCCCACAGTCAGGACACGCATGAGGCTTCTCACCCGTGTGAATTCGATTATGCAACTGCAGGTGGGAGATCCGAGTGAAGCACTTCCCACACTCAGGACACTCATGCGGCTTCTTCTCTCTTATGTGAGGCCTCTGATGGGACGTCAGCTCCGATTTCTGGAGGAAGGCTATTCCACATTCATGACAGTCGAAAGGTGTAGTGTGTGCTATCTGATGTTTACAAAAAGCTGACCAGTCACTGAAGACTTTCCCACATTCGAGTGGTTTCTCCTGAGACTGACTTTCATACTGCACAAATGGTTCTTTATGGTTAACTTTTACCACCTGATTACCTTTGTACGCCTTCTCTCTATGAATAACCTTAGATGTAGCATCACAGGAGCCTTGTGTGAAGAGCTCATCAGATGCAATAGTGTCATTAAGCCCTTTAGGGACACTGTGTTGATTCTGACCATTTGCTTCTAGGTTAGGGTTCAAAACTTTTGCAAATAAACATTTCGGAGGTCCGTCTTGTGTAGAAATGAGGCTGCATACCAAAGGGATGGTTTTCCCAGACTTTTTACATTCATGGTCACTGTCTGCACTCAGTACCATGTTACTGAAGAAAGTACCAGGACTCAAGGGTGGGACCTGGTTTTGCTGATCTCTCTTCGTACAGTCAGTGCCTTGACACAGTTCCTGTAAAACTTCGGAAAACCACGGATCACTTCTTGTGACTTCACTTCCTATACCGCTTCGAACTGAAGCTCCCTCAGAAACTTCTTGTTGTGGGGTGTCAAGTCCAGAGTCCCCTGCTAGGAAAAGAAAGAAATGAAGGAACAGGCACAGTAACAGGGAGGAGAAGGGATCCCAGAGCTGACTGAGATTGACAGAAAAACCTGGGCCAGGCCCCAGTGATGCTGACAATGATTAGGAACATCTGCACAGCCCATATGCTGTGTCAGACATCCGTCTGTGCAGCGTCCAGCAGGCGTTGGCAGTTTTCTGTGCTGAGGATGGACTGCACGAGGCGGTCTTACCTCTCTCCCCGTTCTGGTGATTGAAAAATAAAAGTATACAATGCTTCATTCAGTGGTCCAATGTAGGAAAGATTAGGTTTGGGGAAAGGCAACCAGCTCACGTCTGTAGGACACCTACACGCTCAGCTGCAGTAGGGTTAGTAAGGGAAGAAACAGACAAGGCTTTCACAGGGCGTTCTTAGGGAAGAGCCATGACTTGAAGCTGGGAATCAGAGCTCGGACTTCATTCACTGCAGACAAGGCACATTTGGGCTCTTCACCTTGTTTTATAAATCTGGTTATGGTTTTCTTTCTTTCTTTTTGGTTTGAGACAGGGTCTCCCTGCAGCCCCAGGTGATCTGGAACTCACTATGTAGACCAGGCTGGCCTTGAAATCAGAGATCTTCCTGCCTCTTCCTCCCAAGTGCTGGGACTAAAGGCGTGCACCACCACACTCAGCAAAAACATTTCCTTATTTTTTTGTTGCATTTTTTTCCTGTACTTTTTTTCCTGTGTGGATGAGAATTGGAACAATGGTCTCACCCATGCTAGGCAACCACTCTACCTGTATGCTAGGACCCAGAGCTTTTTATTTTCAATGATGTGAATGTATGTTTTTGTGGGGACATGTGCACACTGAGTGCAGGTGCCCGAGGAAGCCAAAAGAGGGTGTCAGAGCCCCTGGAGCTGGAGTCACAGGTCGTTGTCCTGATGTGGGTGGCTGGGAACTGAACCCAAGTCCTCTACAAGAGCAGCAAGTGCTCTCAACTGCTAGGCCATCTCTCCAGTCCCTAAAATTTTCATTCGTAAGCTGGGCATGGTGGCACACCTCTTTAGTCCCAGCACTCAGGAGGCAGAGGCAGGCGGATCTCTGTGAGTTCGAGGCCAGCCTGGTCTACATATTGAGTTCCAGGACAGCTGGGGCTATAGGAGACCCTGTCTCAAAAAGACCAAAAACCAAAAATATGGAGGAGAGGGATTGCTGTTGACCTGTCACCTCCACACACAAGCACAAATGAACACTCCTGCACACATATGTGCACACACACATAATCACACACAATATCTAATATAGAAAGAAAACACAGAAACATGAATAAAAAGGAAAAAGGAGAGAAAGGAAACAGGAAACTGGTTTGTGCTGGTGCCACTGGGACTAGGAAGTCAGGAAGTGAAAGCCTCAGGGTTGGAGAGATGGCTCCGTGGCTAGAGCACTGGCTGCTCCTGCAGAGGACCCGGGTTCCCAGCACCCACATGGCAGCCAACAACCATCTGTAACTCCAGTTCCAGGGAATCTGACACCTTCTTCTGACCTCTGTGCGCGCTGCACAACATAGGTGCACTTACACACATGCAGGCCATACATTCATACACACAAAATAAAAAATTTTTAAAATAATTTTAAAAATACAAAAAAGCAATGTATAAACGGGAAACTGAGTCACTGAACACACAATGAGATGTCTATCAGTAAAGTAAAATTAGGGGGAAAAGTGCATTTGCACAACACATGGGTGATGCATAAACCAATATGGCTAACGTCCAGGATAACAAATGATGTGCAAACACAAATGCCTGTGCATCTGCAGGACATGGTTGAGTTGGTCACTTAGGCAACCTGATCTGCATGAGGAGGCAGCGTGCTCGGTGTCCACCTTTGAGAGTCTTACACCGGCCCGTACTCTGCATTAACATAACATGGCTGGCATCACTTGTAGACATGGGAAAAGGGAGGCAGGCTGCTACTGGCCCCGAGACCCCATCCACCTCTCCCTGGGCACTCATCACTCACGGGGCCATCGCTGACACAGGAGCTCAGCCTCCCCTATACGTGCCTCCTTTCCTCTCTTCATCCTGAAGATGAGCTTCAGACTGGGAATGGGATACCCTGTGAATCGGAAGGACATTACACTTCTGTTTAGCCACTTAGGTTACTGACAGCTTCTAGGTTTTGAGCATCCACTGAAGTTTTGTATTTTCTCATCACAAAAGTCAACATTTCCGACTGGGTCTAATAAGTCAAAATTGGGGAACCCAAAGAAATGAAACTCTAGGACAGCTGTGGAAAAAAGCATGACATTGCTGCCATTCTGCTGTTTCACAAAGGGAAGGAAATCTCCACGAGGCCGGTCCTAGATCCCCAGCTGCGCTCACCCACTGACAAGAGGTGGCTGTAGATCTCCAGCATCACGTCCTGGTACAGGCGTCTCTGGGCAGGATCCAGGTGCTGCCACTCTTCCTGGGTGAAGTCCACAGTCACGTCCTCAAACGACACCAACCTCTGTAACAATGGACCTAAGCTCACCGAGTTGCTCATCTTTGAGGAATGAGATATTACACGTAAGTACGTGTTTTCAGTGATGTTTTTTCCCCACCAAGACAGGTAGTTAATAAGCTTCAACACCTACTTCATATTGTTTTTTCAGGGATAAGGACAGCTTATAAATGAATTACCTTTTCAAGGAGTCTGGAAATGATTCTTTCTAAACTTGCACCAAGTACAGGTGGCATGACATTTGTTAAGCAACAATATACCAGGCTATGCTTGTGCCTCGTCAAGAGGTTCAATATTACATGGGTGTCCACTCTTAAAGAAACTCAGAGACTTGCAAAACAGGACATGCAGGGGCTGGAGAGATGGCGCTGAGGTTAAGAGCATGTACGGCTCTTAAAGAGGATCTGAGCTTGGTTCCCAGTATTCATTCTGGGTAGCTCATAACCACCTGGAACTTGAGCTCTGGGGGACCCAACATCTATGACCTCTGAGGGCACCTGCAGTCATGTACACATACCCCCCCCACCCACACACATATACAGAATTTAAAGAAAAAAATTATTTTTGGTCTTTTTGAGACAGGGTCTCCCTGTAGCCCCAGCTGACCTGGAACTCGCTATGTAGACCAGGCTGGCCTTGAACTCACAGAGATCCGCCTGCCTCTGCCTCCCAAGTGCTGGGATTAAAGGCATGTGCCACCACGCCCGGCCTAAAGAAATTTTTTTTTAATCTTAAAAAAAGGGTATCATGGGGCTGGAAAGATGGCTCAGCGGTTAAGAACACTGGTTGTTCTTGCAGAAGACCCGGGCTCAAATCCCAGTACCCACATGGCAGCTAACAACTGTCGGTAACTCCAGTCCCAGGGGATGTGACAGCCTCTTCTGACCTCCGCGGGCATTGCACGACTTGGGTGCACTTACCTACAGACAGCTGTGTCAGAGGGGAGGCGACCCTGTGATGTCTAGAAAGTGGCTGTCATCCAAGTCCCAAGCAGGTGGGTGTGGGTCTGAGGGAAGGACAACATGGACTTTCCAATGGCAAGGAAGAGCTGCCAACTGGGCACCTTAAATGCCGGAAATGACCATGTTCATATTTAAAAGGCTGGTCTGCCGGGCGTGATGGCGCACGCCTGTAGTCCCTACACTTGGGAGGCAGAGGCAGGAAGATCTCTGTGAGTTCAAGGCCAGCCTGGTCTGCATAGTGAATCCAGGTCAGCTGGGGCTACAGGGAGACCCTGTCTCAAAAAGACCAAAAAAAAAAAAAAAAAAAAAGGCTGGTCTTCCTTCACTGTCTGCCTGAGACTGCATGCAGTACCGGCTGGTCCTGAACTCTCTAGGGGGCTAAAGGCAACTCTGAACATCTGATCTGCCTCCAGCTTTCCAGGGATTACAGGCGCACACCATCACACCCAGGTCATGCAGTGCTAGGGACAGAACCAAGAGCTTCCTGAACTCGAGGCAAGACGTCACCAACAAAGGCCGAGCCCCAGCCCCCACAGCCTGCCTTTTCCTTTGGATAAAATTTAGAGTTAACTGAAGAGCTCTGCATTACAGGCCTGTAGATGACATAGGCAGCCTGGGGGCCAGCCGAACAGCCGCCCCTTTCATTAAAAAGTGGCTCTTCAGTGGTTAAGTACATTTGCTTCTCTTGTAGAGAACCTCGGTTTGCGTCCCAGAACCTACAAGGTGGTTCACAACCTCTGTAACTCCATTTCCAGGGGATCTAATGACACCTTCATCATCTTTGTCTGGCTGGCCCCTGTAGGCACTGCACACACATGGAACACATAAATACATACATACATACATACATACATACATACATACAAGTAAACACTCCTGCACATAAAATTAAAATAAATAAATCTCTTTTTTTTTTTTTTTTTTTTTCCTTTTTAGAAAGGGTCTCCCTGTAGCCCCCGCTTTCCTGGAACTCACTGTGTAGACCAGGCTGGCCTTGAACTCAGAGATCCTCCTGCCTCTGCCTCCCGAACACTGGGACTAAAGGCGTGCGCCACCACCCCTGGCTTAAATCTTTGCTTTTAAAGGCTGTAAGCCATATTGGTGAGACCCTGCTGGAGTCTTTATAAAAGAGGACTGAACTGACAAGACCTGAGACCAATGGTCAAGTTTGAGAGAGAGAGAGAGAGAGAGAGAGAGAGAGAGAGAGAGAGACAGCCATGATGTGCATGTGGTAGGATACAAAAATGCATGCATGCCACCCACACTGTGCTCTTGCAAACAAATAAACTCACTTGGATGGTGAGCAAGCATCTAGACCAGAGCTCTTCAACGAAAGCTTAAGGGGAGCCTCCAAGTAATCTCTTTCTTTCTTTTTTTTTTGGTCTTTTTGAGACAGGGTCTCCCTGTAGCCCCAGCTGGCCTGGAACTCGCTATGTAGACCAGGCTGGCCTTGAACTCACAGAGATCCGCCTGCTTCTGCCTCCTGAGTGCTGGTATTAAAAGGTATGCGCCATCACACCTGGCCCAAGTAATCTCTTAAACTCTAGTAGTCATGTTAAAAAGAAATACATGCAATCAACAGAGTATTTTATTGAGCATTTCCACATTATTATTTCAAGATACTAATCTTTCAAGAGCCACCAGGAAGCTTGGAGTGGTGATGGAAGTACTTGGGAGGACAGAAGCCAAAGGACTGCTCCAAGTTTGGGGCCAGTCTGGTCTAGATGGCGTAACCCTAGTTCAATAAATCCAGTGCTTTACCAGGCTCTGTTTGCAGGGAAGAACTCCTTTGGTCTGTCGGCGCCTTCTCCTGTTGGGGTGCACATAAACAGACTCCACAGGAAGTCACCAGACCAGGGGCAAATCTAGATGGAAGAACTTAAGGGCAGCACAGTAGGCATGTCAGGAAAAGACAAGGTATGGACGCATCTTCTCCTGCACTCTGCTAAGACCACATCAGGAAGCCCGGGGCCTGCAGCTTTCCCCATGTGCTCCTTAGTTTGAAGAACAGAATCTGCTGCAGCACCTGCTTACCTCACGGGACCCATGCTGCTGCCCAGCTCCCGGTCTCTGGGGCCTCTGGGACAGTCTTGGGTCAGCAGGCATATCTTCTCTGCTTTCTACTCTTGGTCTCTCTTGCTGGCAGATCTGATTTCCTCAGGAGCCGGAAGCTGGGTGGGCGACTAGAGGTTCCAAGCAGAGCTGCTGGGCAGAGGCCAGATGGGGCACCACGTGGGTACTGCAGCCTGGATGTGGCATGACCGGGGATCGGCAGACACTGGAAAGTCCTGGGAAATCAATGACCACACGGTCACTCAGCCAACACACTTTCTTTACAAACATTTATTTTAGTTTATGTATAGGAATGTTTCACCTTCGTGTTCGCATGTGCACCAACCACAGGCTTGCCTGATGCCCATGGGGCCCAAAAGAGAATTGAGTTGGAACCCCTTGAACTGGAGTTAAAGACTGTTGCTAGCCACCATGTGGGTGCTGGGATTTGAACCTGGGTCCTCTGCAAGATGGAAACAACCCAAATGTCCCTCGACGGATGGATAATGAAAATGCAATACATCTACACAATGGAGTTCTGCTCAGCGATAAAGAAAATGAAATCATGAAATGTGCAGGTAAATGGATGGAACCAGAAACTGTTATACTAAGTGAAGTAACAGACTCAGAAATACAAGGACGTATGTTCTCCCTCATTTGTGGGTTCCAGCTCCACATCCTTAGATGGAGTACATACCCTGCTGTAGCTGCAGGAGTTAGGAACACAGTAAAGAACCATGGTGAGGAAGGGGAGGGAGGAGTAGGAGGCATGTGTACAGCTGAAGGCCATATAACAAGAAACACAGTGCTAGGCAGGGAAACTTCCTTTTGAGTTGTTGGTCAGGGTAGTCAAGACACTCCCAAAATGACACAGGCTATTGCCACAGTCCTTGATGGCCTCCCAGAACTTGAAGGTTAGACCCTCTTGCTGAAGACAGGACATACTTCAGACACAGGACTTGGAGCGATGGAGCTGGAATTGACCTGGAAGCCTCCTCCCTGCAGACTAGCTCTCATAGTTATGGAGGACACTATGCAAGCTGCTAAGGGAGAAAACCAATTAATGGTCCAGCCCACCTCGAAAGCCTAATAAGCACAATGACTAGCCCAGGAAACTATCTCTATTGGTGCAGTAGTGACACTTTTAGCTTGGTGGTAATCAACAGCTATCTAATTGGCCCACTCATGACGAGGGAACTCATTTGCAGTACTGAAAACACAGTCAAATATACACAGCTGGAGAGGTCATAGATCCTAGAGAAAAGCCTAATTTTGCCACCCCCCTAGACCAATGTAATTTTTTACTGTATTCTAAATATTTATCCTTGTATTACAGACAAGCACACCGCTTACCACTCATCAAAGCAGCTTCCTCTTACAATACATGAAGACTTTACAGAGTTCCACAACTGGTCACAAGCAGAGAATAAGTGTCTGTGAGGTGCCCAGCCCTAAGTGACACATCTACAGTGCAACCTCCACACCTAAGCCTCAGGAAACAGCAGGACAGGAGGCAGAAATATTAATGCACCTCTCAACTATCACCGAGGAAGCTTCCTCGTGTAACAGATGATGATTAACCCAGAAAGCCAGAACTGGCCCAAGTGCAGAGAGTTTTGAACCAGGATACCTATACCAAAGCTCTGCCTCCCAAGGCTCAGGGACCAGGCTGAAAACAGGGCAAAAAGACTGTAAGAGCCAGATGTGGTGGAAGACCATGGGAAACAGTGTTCCAGACAGCTGGGAAGTTATAGGAACTTCCAGCAATGGTGACAGCATGCACAGGACCCAAGCAAGCTCAAGCCAGACAGAATCCCAGCATAGACGTGGGGAAGTAGGGAAGACACCCCAGCTGAGGAGCTGTTGGCAACAGTAACTACTGGGGGAGGGAGAGTCGGTATTCTTTAAGGGTGTGATGCGAGATCGGGTAACCAGGCCCCAGTGGATGAACACATGCTCAAGGACATGTGGGGACACAAACATGGCTCAAGAGGCCTTAAGATATATGACAGGACACATGAAATCCAGTGTGTGTGCGTGGGTGCTAAAAGAGGAGTACAGGTAGAGGAAAGGGTCTAAATATTATTAAAATGTACTGTATGAGCTGCGGTGGTGGCACAAGTCTGTAGTCCCAGCACTCGGGAGGCAGAGGCAGGTGGATCTCTGTGAGTTCAAGGCCAGCCTGGTCTACATAGTGAGTTCCAGGACAGCTGGGGCTACAGGGAGACCCTGCTTCAAAAAGACCAAAAAAAAGGAATTTGCAAAAATTCAAAAACTTTAAAAAAGATATAAAATTAGGAGCCTCCCCACTGGGACACAGGTACTGTCCACAGGCATCGTAAAGCAAGCCTGCCTGGCCAGCCGAAAAGCCTAATAACCACACCAAGACTGGCCAGCACACTGTCTCTGTTATCTGGGGTGATCAGCAGCTCTCTAATTGGCCTTGACGTCCTAAATGGGAGGAAAATCATGTGTGGCCCTGTAAATATAGCCAAACAGATGGTGGCTATTAGAGGTCACACACAGAGAATACATGTCTGAGAGACGTCTAGCCCTAAGTGACATGTCTACAGTGAAACCTCAACACCTGAGGTTCATGGAAATAGTGGAACAGGGAGTGGAGAAAACTAGTGCACCCCTCAACTCTCACCAGCGAAGCTTCCTCATACATCAGAGTGGAAAGTGCACACAAGGCCACAAGCGGCCACATTTTAGAGAACAAGATACTGCAGAGTGTGTGTCCCTGGATAGGACTCCTGGATTAAACCTCACCCACCCATGGCTCAGGAACCATTGCAGAAGAGGGGGCGGAAATATTCTAAGTGCCATAGTTGGTGCATGAACATAAGGAAACAGAGGCTTTCGGGTCTCTGGGAACTTGCAACAATGGCTTCAGCATGCACAAGACCCACGCTGACTCAATCAGACAAAAACCTGCATAGAACTGGGGAAATGGGCAGCAGGACCCAAAGCTTAGCCGAGGAACTACTGCCGGGTGAGGGAGAGTAGACTGTACTTTAAGGGAGGGACTCTAGATAAGCTGACTAGACTCCCATGGATGAACTTGCATTGAGAAACATCTGAGTAAAACTGCTTGACAGGATATGACTTAACATATATGACAGAATGCATGAAATCTGGTGGTTGGGGGGGTGTTAAGGGGAGTGCAGATGGGGGATGGGGTCTAAATTTGATTAAGATCTTATATCAAAAACTCAATAAAAATACTTTTTAAATAAACAAAAATAAATTCAGAGACCCATCTCTTGCGTGGCCCACAACACCTGCACACATGCACCTGGACCCCCTCTCTGTCACTGAGCACTTCTTCCCTGTCCTAAGGAGTCACCTCCACTACACCAGAATCCAGCCATCGAAACCATGGCCTTCAGTACTCTCCGTGAGTGGACCTGTCGTACTGGACTGTCCTTGAAGTCAGACAAATGCCACTGTCTTCCTGGACATGGCCTGGGGGAGTTTACAGGCTGGAGAAGCCTGGGGAAGGTCTCTTGCCATTTCATGGTGCTATGGGGAAGCTATGAAGACTTTCCAGTGTGGCCACAGGTGGGGGGCACCCACACTCCTGTAAGTGACCCCTCACTGCTGCTCTGTAAGTAAGCCCAAAGAACTTATTGGTTTCCCAGAGCGCAATTTGGTAACATCTACCTCAGTTGGTCATTAGGACCAAAGGAGGAGGGGCTGGACATAGTTTACACAACACCCCCCCCTCAAGGAGTTTCAGCAACAGGGCCACAGAACTGCCTGGGTGTCTCAGGCTCCTGAAAACATCACTACCTCACTAATCAATAAACATTTCCCAGAAAACATAATTTACACAATTTACTCCAGAGAGATTCAACCCTAAACAGAGGGGGTCAAATACTGCAGCCCTACCGTGGGAGTGGCATCATTCTGGTCACCTGCCAATCACAGACAGAGGCCCACAGAGCAGGAAGGGGAAGACAGTACTGGGCCACCCAGACACCTCCTGAGGACACCCGTAGGGACTAGGTGGTGGTCAGTTGCAGCTCCTGCTCCCTACAGGACATACCCTGGGATCCCCAGAAGCCCTGGAACCCTGGCACCAGCACAGATCACCACCCCCAGGTCTGGTGCCTGGACCCACAGATAAAAAGGTCCATGTGTTATCTCCTGGATTCTGTTCCATCCTTTGTATGTTTTACTTCTGAAATGGGAAAGGCAAAAGGAAAGATTTAAAAAATGACTGGAGAGATGGCTCAATGGCTAGAGCACTGGCTGCTCTTGCAGATGACCCGCGTTTGAATCCCAGCACCCACATGGCAGCTAACAACCATGTGTAACTCCATTTCTAGGTGATCCGACATCCTCTTCTCTCCTCCACGGGCACTGCACACACACGGGTGCACTTACACACATGCAGACAATACACTCATACACATAATAAATAAAAGATTTAATAAACAAAAAAATAAATGCAGAAGGCCATGCAGTCCCCGGAAAGACCCCCTCCCAAGGCCTGCGGGCTCCATCAGCCACCTGCTGTCCTGACTCTTCCCCATCCCCACCCACCCTCCAAGTTCTCCACCTGCAGCTCCAGCTCCACCCAGCACGGGCTCCCGCAGCACCCACGGGGAGTCCTCCCAGGGTCCCCGGTGCTGTCCTCGGTGCTCAGAGGACAACGTCCACGACGCCGGGATCACAGAGATGCAGACGACACGCATCCTCCCCGCGCAGCTACCGCTGACCTCACCCTTCTCAGCGCCTCTGCACACCGCACGCCCGGGGGAGTTCGCGGGGACTTCTAGTCACCGACGCCCAGAACCCCCCGATGGAAGATTCCAGATTCCCTCTGAGTCCAGACAGCATCTGGGAAGCATCGCGTGAAGATCGAACCCGAAATGGCCACACGGTCATTGCCTAGCCGGGTTTCTGTTCCGGTAGCCAGCCGATTTCCTCCCACTCGAGAGGTTCGCGCATACGCAGTAACGCCCCGGAAGCTGCTAAGTAGGCTCTGCCAGTAGTTAAGATGGCGCGGCCCCTGGTTCCGTGTGACATCAAGAAGTGTCAAGGCGACACCCATAGAATCCTGATGTTGGAGGGTGCCATTAAGGAATTTCCAGTCCGTACAACCAAGGGCGGGATGTGGAACCCGCATAGGAAGAGTCGGCTCCTGTATTTTTAAGTATTTGTTTATTATTTACTTATTTTACGTTGTGAACGAAATGTCACAGAAAACCAGCATCCTTCTCCAGGCGTGGTGGTGTGCACCTTTAATCCCAGCTCTCAGGAAGCAGAAGCAGGTGAATCTATGGGACATGGAGGCCATGGCTCCAAAACAAGCCCAGGTCAGCTGAGGCTACAGGGAGACCCTGTCTCAAAAAGATAAAAAAATAAAAAACCAAACCCTCTGCAAACGCGGATCAACTGATTAGAACGTCTGTGATTATGGTAAGTTTGAAATGTTGCAGATCCAAAGCCTAGTTACCATTTATCTTGGGCTGTCTTTAGCCCCTAAATAGCCAGTTCTTGCTCACCTGTTCACCTGTTTCTGACATAACATCCTATAATTAACAAATAAAAAATAAAAACTTTTGGAAAGCATTAACTAGCAGACCATCAGCTCCCACCAGCTGAAAGGTCAACTGAGGCCTGTAGCTGAGGTGTCCCTTTGCTGAATCTGCTTGCTGAATCCACCTACTGAATGTATCAACCGATGTATTTGAAAAGTGTCTTGATTTATGGAATTTGGGGTAATCTGAACCTGTGTTCCTCGACCAAGGTCACTCATACTTGATTCCAGAATAAACTATTTCTTATCCCCTTTGAGATGAGAATTGTGCTTCTGTGTTGACAATGTGTGTGTTTTGCCTGCCTGTGTGTAAATGCACCCATGCCATGCAATGCCCATGGAGGTCAGAAGAGGGAGTCATATTCCCTGTAACTGGACGTACAGATGGTTGTTAGCTGCCATGTGGGTGCTGGGAACTGAACCTAGGTCCTGTGCAAGAGCAGCCAGTGCTCTTAACCTCTGAGCCATCTCTCCAGCTCCCCATCTATTTCTTAAACTGACATGGCATATTCCCATTAATTTCTTTTCATTTTTAATATTTTTTCTTTTTCTTTCTTTCTTTTGGTCTTTTTTGAGACAGGGTTTCCCTATAGCCCCAGCTAGCCTAGAATTTGCTATGTAGACCAGGCTGCCCTCAAACTCACCTGTCTCTGCCTCCTAAGTTCTGGGATTAAAGGCATGAGCCACCACACCTGGCTAATTTTATGTGTATGTTATACTAGCACGTGTGTAAGTACCACCCTGTCATGCAATGCCTATAGAGGTCAGAAGAGGACATCAGATCCACTGGAGCTGGAATTACAGATTGTTAGCGGCCATGTGGGTGCTAGGATTTGAACCTAGGTCTTCTGCAAGAGCAGCCAGTGCTCTTAAACCATCTCTTCAGCCCAGAGAGACCATATTTTGTTGCAAATAGTTTCCTGAGCTACTGCAGGGAACTGTCCTTTGATCTGTGTACCTTTCCTTCCTGCTTAGTGTAGAGACTCAGGTGTGCTAGTGGATGATGAAATGAGTGAAGGCAAAGGACTCAACCCTCTGATGGAGGAGAGGAGTGAGTTTAAGTCTTTAGCAGTGCTTTTCTATACTCACAAAACTACAGTTACAAGCTTGGTGTTTGTCCCAGAACACATGAAAGAATTAGTTTCACAGAGATCAAAGCACATTCTACAGGTTTACATTTAAAGTTAGTCAGTAGGCTACAAAGAGTGTATCATAGATTTTTTAACAATTTCCAAGAAGGATGGCTAGTTATTGTGTTTAACATTAAACAATCATCCTATGTCTTGCAGTCATGACTTAGACTTATAATGTATTTCTGATCTATGACTAAGGTGGTGTTCCACCAAGCCCAAGATTCTTGTTTCAAAGAAATGTCTGGACCTCATCCCTGACCATTCTTAACCTCTTCCTTCAGCTTAGAGTACCCTGTCCATGCTGACAAAAACTTTGGAAGTCGCCTCTTGTTCTGCAGAAGAAAGCTCTTCCTGGTCCCCTGCTTCCTAAAAGTAAATTGTGTCATGTGTTGTGTGAAACTGTGCAGTCCCTCTTCTGGATTTCCTGCCACCCTGCCATCAGGTCTTAACACTCTGTGCATACATAGTCTTTCTCCACCTCAGCCTAGACCCCAGGAAGCCCTGCTGCACAGGTGGGATCTGTTGACAGAGCCAAGAGCTGAGGATTGGGTCATCTAGTGTGGCTCCCATGATGCTTCATGTGGAGTGGAAGTGTTCGTTCTTCAAGGGCCTTGACAGCCCTGATAACCTGTGGGCACTGGGCTCTCTGACCTTATTCCTGGGCTGCCAGTGGGACTTTTCAGCCCTGTGACACCAAAGCCTGGGACTGTCACCTTTAAATGTCTCCTCTCATGGCACCCTTCTATGTGCACTTGAAGGAAGTCAGGATCCTTCTACCCCAACAATGCTGGGTCATTGCTGTTGCAGCCTCTGTTGTGGGCAGGACAGTGTGCATGGAAACAGGGTGGGCTGAGTCATGCTAACTGTATGACTGTGTGTATGACTGTGCGCTGGGGCAGGATCTGAAATTCCAACTGGAAATGCCCAAGTGGATGATGGTGTGGAAGGGTTTCTTCATCCCCAAACCTTGTGGTTTCCCCATCTCACAGGCACTCTCCACCCTATCTCTGCTGACTAGTTCCTGGAAGGGGCCAATACATACTGCTGCACATCAGAGGACAAAGGCAACCCAACCTACCAGTGCAAGAGACCAAAGGCTGATTTCACCTCCTCAGCAATCTGTGGAACAGTAACTGCTCTCTGGATATAAACAATAGTCATAAAAGGGACATAAGGTTGGAGAGATAGCTCAGACTACAGGGGCGCTGGTTAACACTGTGCACCTGCATACATATGGGCAAAACATTCCTACACATAAAATAAAAATCATAAAATGTATTTTTAAGAAAGGACACAGGAGCATGTTTCTTTAGAGTGGACAGGGAGCCTTATGTGAGACATAATTACACACAGAGCTTTCTGTGTGTCATGCACTAAGTGACGAGGTCACAGAAACGGGTCCAGAGAGCCTCTAGGACATGGACTTAAGGAGATCCCCTGGTCCTCATCCTGGAGTGCACCGTGAGGATTGGATTTTGGGGGTTGGCCTGGGGGAGCGTTTGCCTGAGGTAGTGTTTAGAACCCACTGGAAGGAAGGTTACACTAGGACATGGACCTCTTTCCTCCCAAGTTATTTTTTATTTTACTTTATGTGTATCAGTGTATTGCCTGCATATATGTAAGTACACCCATGTTATGTGATACCTGCAGAGGTCAGAAGAGGGTGTCAGATCCCCTGGAACTGGAGTTATAGATGGTTGTTAGTCGCCATGTAGGTGCTGGGAATCAAACCTGGGGCTCTGCAACAGCAGCCAGTGGTCTTAACCACTAAGCCATCTCTCCAGCTCTGCCTCCCCAACTCTTTACACTGACTTCTGCATCTCTATTGTGTGGACTCTGAAGCCTAGCTTTGCCAACAACTTTACCCACTCTGACCTTGGGTATGTGAGTGGGATCTGTTTCCCCATCTTCTACAGGTCAACTGTACTCATCTGCCTTGGAGCTAGACCACCACCTGCACCTCCTCAGAATCTGTCGCTCATCCCAGGACCCCAGAACCCCAGCACCCTCACCTGTCAGGTGACCCTTCTTGAAGCTAGTGACTGTGGACATAACCATTCAGCTACACATTGCCTGTGACTTCCAGGGCATGGTGCCAGGCCCTTGAGATTGTGAGCAAACAAGAGGGCAGGGCTAGGAACTGAGGGCAGTTGTGTCTTGGAGGCCCAGGTTAGGAGACAGGAACAGACCCAGTCACTGTGCTTTTCTGATGCAAAGTCCTGCCTTGTTGTACCTTCATATCAAGAAGGAAATTCTCTCTTCCTGCCCCAGATGCAGAGAACACTACCACTGTGTCTCCTGTACAGATGGTTCACAGAGGTATCCATCCTGGCCCAAGGAACAGTGAGTCTTCAGCTCAGGGCAGGGTTAGTGACTCCTTGCCCTAGACTCACCCTGGAGAGACGGTACCCTCTTCTCTAACTTCAGTGCATCACCTCTTCCCATCAGCCTGCCACCTCTGGGATGCTTGCATATACCTCCTGCCCCAGAGGACTAGGGCAACATTGGGACATCAGAACTGAGTGCTCCTGGCCCTTCTCATCCTGCTCTGCATCAGCTCAGTCATTACTCCAATAGCTTTGATCTGAGTGCTTGTACAGGAGACACATGGGCCAATATTCCGAACACACAGCAGTGTTCCCCAGGTCAGTCCCCTCCCCAGAAGTGATCAGTATCCACACAGGTTGCCAGGAATTGGGATTGGTCAACCTGAAGGTTTGATACTGGTTATCAGTAGCACAGATGGCCTTCATTCATCCATGACAGTGTTCTCCACTGCACAGATGGACAGTTTATGACCTTTCCTGAGGAGACACGAACACACACCTGTTCACCAGATACAATGTACTGGGGGCAGATCAAAGTATTGACTCCACCAAAGTCCAACCTGCTGAAGCAATGGGTATGAGGGGATACTTACAAGGTCAGAGGCAACTCACCAAGGAGACTACCCCAGCTGCATCTCTGGAGCTCCCTGATGACTTGCAGACCACTTGTCCTGTTCCCGGTAGTCCTCAGTGTGTATATAATCTTGGAGGAGGGGCCTTTGTGGATCTTTTTTGGGGGAGGGGAATTTTTTGAGGCAGGGTCTCCCTGTTGCCCCAGCCCTATCTCAGAAAGACATATATACTCACACACAATTTTTTTTCTGTGTGAGTGTATCGTATGAATGTGTATAATATGCACCCATGTTGTGCAATGCCTGACGAGTCAGAAAAGGGCATTGGCTCCTCTGGAACTGGAGTTAGAACAGTCAGCTGCCATATAGATATTGGGAACTGACCCTGGATCCTCTGTAAGAGCAGCCAGTGCTCTTAAGCACTGAACTGTCTCTCCAGGCCTCACACTTTTTGGGAGGGGGTGTGTTTTGTTGAGACAGGTCTCCCTGTAGCCTCAGCTGGCCTGGAACTATATAGACCAGGCTGGCCTTGAACTCACAGAGATCTGCCTGCCTCTGCCTCCTAAGTGCTGGGATTAAAAAGGTGTGTGCCACCAAGCATGGCTGCCTTTGTGAATTTTAAGTTTCAGAAACTTCTTGAGGCTTGTTTTTTACTTTCTGCCCCTAGGTTTTGTTTACTTTCTAAGCCTTAATAAGCCTCCCTCTAGGATGGAATTGCCACAGAACAGACCCCAATTCTGTGAGCATCTTTCATTCTGCCAAAAGAAATGTGTAGTGTTGCATCTGAGTTAAAAGACATGTATGTCTGTCTGTGAGATCAACTCCCAAATGCAAAATGTAGCTGGATCACGTCTTTTTAATTTTGACATTTAAAGCCAAGTGGTTCTTCATGATTGCTGGACAATGATCAGTTCCGGACAGAGAGATAAAACACATGATGCAGAAAAATTAACCCAAGGTGGAACTAATGAACTATGACTCCAGTGAAACTGTGGTAGATAAATAAGCAGTAACAAATATATTTGATAAGACCATCCCTAATAATAAGTGTTTGTTGATGTATGTAGAAGGAACAGTTAGGACTTCGGAAGCATCAACCTGTACTCAAGTCATAAAGGCTACTCTGAGCTCAGTCTCAGGACAGATGACCACAAACCAGTCTATGATCGTAAGGAGTCCTCTGCTGACAATGTGTCATGTTCATTAAAGTGGGAGCGTACTGACACTAGCAAATGTTTCCTGTTACTGGGATGTCACAACCCTTGCCCACACTTGCCCAAAGTATCTTCTGTGAAAACAGTGACCATTTAAATTTCCTATAATAACCTAAAGGGCACGTATACTTCTGTGCTGGAGGTCTTAAATCCACCAATGTTGTTACTGCCAAAGGATGGTGTGAAAAATCCTGTAAAAACCTGTATATAGTTCTAGCTGGGCCTCAGTTTCCCTGGAGCAGGAGTTCAGACTGGGACCCGCAGGTGACAGAGGACAAAGTTTCTGAGTATGGTTATTCTTCTCACTGCACCAGGTCAGTCTCGGGTTAATTCCTATAACACACAGGTGTGTGCTCTCTCCAACCCACTGTACTTGTTTTGCTTTCTCGTACTGGGGACTGAATGTGTGGTTGAGCACTGCGCCACATCACAGCCCCTGGGAACCCTTTGGGTCTTTGTCAGGGTAACAGGAAAACTGGAATCTCCTTGTGGTTTACTTAATATATGCATACTTGCACTTGAGATCAAATTCACACATGAAGTTCACCAGTAACCACTATCATACAATGGCCTCTATGTAACTCCAGAAATTTTTCATCCTCTAGAAACTCTGTACCCACACCCACACCACCATCATTCCACCTTTTCTGGAACCACTGACCTGCTGTGGTATCTGTAGATTTGCCTCTTCTGGACACTGCAGAGTAGTGAGGCCAAAGGTGTGGCCTTTGTGATGAGTGGCTCTCACCTACTGTTGTCTTCAGGATTGGGCCTCACTGGGAAATACACCATGGAGATCCCAGCAAGCAGGATCGCTGGTCGTGGAACGACCCCGTATTTCCAGGTCTCTCTGCCACTCCTGGCTCTCCTGCCAGGTCTATCCTGGAAAGGTGATGGCCATGGCCTCGTTCACTGTCTAAGGGCAGCTGACTTCTCCGATGAGCACTGGGTGCGGGATGAGGGTGTTGACACTGCTACCTGGTAACGGGCCCTACCTCATGAGCCTAGAAGGTGCTGAGGTACCAACGATGTGGGGGACAAACATACATACATATTCAAATGCTGACCAGACCCCAGACACATACAAATGAATGTGCAATAGGGTATGGATGATACAGACACATGATAATTTGTTTTGTGGCACTTAGAAATATCAGTACCCTACCACAAAGGGAAACCATTGCTATGACTTCCCACACACCTTCCAAGTCTGGTGGCTACGGATCTTAGAGAGGCTGATCTCAAACCATTACTCATTTCTTTTTTAAATCAAATGAGGGAAGACCTATGCGTAGACACCTGAGGTTGCTCTGACATACAGATGTACTTGCACACACGTACATCCTCCAAGCATAACAGCCATCAGCTTCATCAGAGTGGCTGTGATCACCTGTAAGAGACCCTCAAGCCTGAGCCTGTGGGCTGCTGATGCTCCCTTACAGGAAGGGGTGGGGCGGGGTCGCCAGTCCCTCATCTGACATTTTTTTTTGGTAAGCTTTAATATTTCATTATTTTAATTTTAATGTATATGAGCGTATTGCCTGTGTGTATGTAAGTGCACCTGTGTCATGCAATGCCTGCAGAGTTCAGAAGAGGGGTTGGTTTCCCTGGCACTGGAGTTTTGGACAGTTGTTAGCTGCCATGTGGTTGCTGGGAACAGAACCCGGGTCCTCTGCAAGAGCAGCCAGTGCTCTAACTGCTGAGCATCTCTCCAGGCCCTGATTTTCATTTCTTAGGGACCCCTTTCCTGATTATCTAGACTCTTCAGTTGACTTTAGAGCTCACAAAATGCCTGGTCCATTTATAGCAATCATAATTTGTCACCCCCATTTCACGTACATCCTCCAAGCATAACAGCCATCAGCTTCATCAGAGTGGCTGTGATCACCTGTAAGAGACCCTCAAGCCTGAGCCTGTGGGCTGCTGATGCTCCCTTACAGGAAGGGGTGGGGCGGGGTCGCCAGTCCCTCATCTGACATTTTTTTTTGGTAAGCTTTAATATTTCATTATTTTAATTTTAATGTATATGAGCGTATTGCCTGTGTGTATGTAAGTGCACCTGTGTCATGCAATGCCTGCAGAGTTCAGAAGAGGGGTTGGTTTCCCTGGCACTGGAGTTTTGGACAGTTGTTAGCTGCCATGTGGTTGCTGGGAACAGAACCCGGGTCCTCTGCAAGAGCAGCCAGTGCTCTAACTGCTGAGCATCTCTCCAGCCCCTCATCTGTTATCCTAACCATTCCCTGTCAAAGGAATGTGATCCTGTCTCAACTACACATAGACTCATGATCTTGGGAGGTGCTAAAGTGTATGGACTATGAGAGATTAACTGAAGGGGTAATCCAAGCTGGGATGAGACTCTTCGGTGGCATGGCTACTTTGGGGTCAGCCATGCTCCCCAACTGACCCCTCACTCATGCTCTAAGCTCACTGATTCCCAAGGTGGACTCTGGTGGAATACTACTTGGGAGGGGTAAATATCTGTCTCCTCAGGGGAAGAGTTCCTATAATACGTGTGCACATGCACATACATGTGCATCCATAGGTGAGCATGTGCATAGAGAGGGGAGGGAGGGAGGGAGGGAAGGAGGGCGAGGGGGAGACAGAGGGAGGGAGGGAGAGAGAGCGAGAGCGAGAGTGAGCAGGGTCCTTGTCCTTTTCACCGGTTTCACTGATTTCCCTCAGGTATAACAATTTCTATTTTTAAATGGTAATGCATAGCTATATTATTCAGAGCTATGAATAAGCTATAATCAGGTCTCTTATAAAATATCCTTTCAACAATAACTCAAGAATATTCCAGTTAGGAATATGGATGAGGGACTGACTTTATGGGAAAGTCTTTTATACAATCACAGTATCTGCAAGTGCAGAGTCTGGTACAAGTGCCCGCTCTATTGAACTCTGACTCTGATTTGTTTTTGAAGGACTTCTTGCACTCAGAATACATGTAAGGTCTCTGGCTAGTATGAACTAGATGATGAACCTTAGGCTGCTGAAAATTCTCCCACAGCCACATACTGGTAACTAACTCTCCGCTGCAACTTGATGATGCACCTTCAGGTGGCGTGTGTGATGGAACAACTTACCACAGGCTCCTCAGCACTGTGAATTTGCTGATGGGATAACAATCGTGACTTGCGCAAGAAGCCTTTCCCACATTTGAGACAGACGAAAGGTCTCTGACTACTGTGAGTTCTGCGGTGTGTATGTAAAGAAGACCTGCCACTGAAGGCCTTCCCACAGGCCGTGCACACATATGGTTTCTCACCGGTGTGAACTCTCTGATGCTCTATCAGTTGGGCTTTAGAAGACATGGCTTTCCCACAGTCACTGCACGTGTAAGGCTTCTCCCCTGTGTGAATTCTCTGGTGAGTGCTGAGGACTGAATTGTGGCTGAAGGCCTTCCCACATTCCGAACACACATAAGGTCTCTCACCTGTGTGAATTCGAAGATGCACCTTAAGGTGAGATTTTCTTCTGAATGATTTCCCACAGTCACAGCACTTGTAAGGTCTCTCATTGGTGTGGATTCGATGATGCACGGGCAGGTGGGATTTGTTACTGAACAGTTTCCCACAGTCAGGGCATTCGTAAGGCTTCTCCCCTGTGTGAAATCGACGATGCTTCTTCAGATCCGATGCATAAACAAACATTTTCCCACAGTAACTACATGTGTACGGTTTCTCCCCAGTGTGAATTCTCTGATGCGTGGTGAGGACTGACTTTTGGCTGAAGGCCTTCCCACAGTCAGAACACACATAAGGTTTCTCACCTGTGTGTGTTCGAATGTGCACCTTTAGGTGGGATGTATAGCTGAATGATTTCCCACAGATGTGGCACTCGTAAGGCTTCTCGCTGGTGTGGATTTCACGGTGCACCCGCAGGTTGGATGTACTCCCATGTGATTTCCTACAGTCAGGACATTCATAAGGCGTGTCTCCTGTAGGAATTCCTGGAGGGGACGTTGACTCAGAACTGTGGAGGAAGGTCTTCCCACATGTGTGACAGATAAAAGGTATCTCTGTAGTGCTAGTCATCTGCTGTTGAGAGAAAGCGGAACTACCGGTGACGACCTTTCTGTATCCGGTATATTCAACTGGATTGTCCAGACAATTAATTTCATGCTCTGTGAGTGGTGGCTTAGGACAGAGAACTTTTCCAAACTGAGCATCACTGTACGATTCCTCTCCTTGATGAGGAACTGTATGTGCAGTATTCGAGGAGCCTTGTGGGAAGAGCTGCTGGAACCCCACAATGCCGTCACCCTGCCGGGTGGCACCCCTTTGATCATCACCATTTGTTTCAAGGTTAGGCTTCTCACTATTTGCTGAGCAACATCTTTGAGGTCCCTCTTGTGTGGAAACCAGAGGTCCCAACGGAATGGACTCCCCAGTCTCTTCACTGTCTGTGCTCTGTGTTTTCTGGTTAAGGAAAACACCAGGACTCAAGGGTGGGATCTGGCTTTGCTGGTCTTTCTTCGTGGGGTCAGCAGTCTGCAGTTCTGGTATGGAACATGACTCTCGTTGTGTCATTTCTCCTGATAAATCGTTTGGAAATGAAGTGTTCACAGCCATTTGCTGAGGTGTGTCAATCTCCCGGTCCCCTGCTGAGATGAGAAAGAGGTAAAGGAATGGGTACGATAGCAGGTGGAGGGGAGCAGAATGTGAACACAGACCCGAGTCAGGTAGTGGTGATACTGCTGATGGACACAGTGTGGAAATACTAACGCCGTCCTTACGGCATGAGAAACACTCAGGTCCACAGCGTCCATCTAAGGCGGATACAGCTCAGTCCTTACACCCACCCACACATACGCTCCCCGTCTTACTACTCAGGAACAGGGCCGCACAGAATGCTTCGGTCAGTGGCCAAGACTGTTTAATGCAGGGAAGGTTTGGTTTAGTCTTCGACAAGCAGCTCAACTTAGGTGAGACCTAGGGTAGAAGGCTCAGCAGGGGGCAGGGGACAAGGCTGTGCAGGCACTCGGTGGACAGCCAAGGTCCGAAGCTAGGGACCTGGGCTTTCTCGGTTCCAGAGAGATGTGCATTCACATCCTTCGCCCATTTTCTTACTGGGTTGTTTTTGTTACACTTTTCTTTTTCTTTCTCCTCTGGTTTTGGGGATTCATTGCAGACTTCACCCACAGGAAGCAAGCACTCCCCCCAAGCTATACATCTACACCCTCAAAATTTTGTTTCTTATTTATATGTTTTTTTATTTTTATTTATTGTCTTTTTGAGACAGGGTCTTCCTGTAGTCCCAGCTGTCCTGGAACTCACTATGTAGACGAGGCTGGCCTTGAACTCACAGAGATCCACCTGCCTCTGCCTCCCGAGTGCTGGGATTAAAGGCGTGCACCACCATGCCTGGCTTATTTATATGTTTTCTAAAAATTAAATGCGTGTGTGTGGTTATGTGCACATGAGTGCAGCCTGTAGAGGCCAGAAGAGGGCACAGAATCCCCTGGAGCTGGAGTTGCAGGCAGTTTTGAGATGTCTGACAGGGACACTGGCATTCAATGTACCTCTGGAAGAGCAGGGTACAGTCTTAACTGCTGAGTCACCTATTCTGTGTATTCTTTCATCTATCTATCTATCTATCTATCTATCTATCTATCTATCATCTATCTATCTTCTATTTTTATTTATTCATCTATCTATATTTATTTGTTGATTGATTGTTTTTATATGTGTTTTGCAGTGTAGCAAGTCCTCTGAGATGAAGCCTTCCATCTTGGGGGGAAGCTGGGCACACAACAGGGGGTAGGTTCTAAAGAGAGGTAAAGAACAGGATGTTTCCAGGGGAGGTGAAACATTCTGTCCTGCAGGGAAGCTTGTTAAGTTCAGGAAGTAAACAACTCAATAGCTTCAGGAAGGGTCTGAGATTGACCAGGTTCACTAGGCCCCTCCCTCCCCAAGCAGATATAAGGCCTAAGGACTGCAGACAGACCCTGTGAGACCAGTTTGAGCAGCCTAGAAGAGGCTCAGACCAGCATAGCCTCTGGAACAAGCAGAGACCAGCTGAGCTGCCTGGACAGGATTCTCCAACCTGCAGAGCTGCCTGCAGGCTGTACGGTGCTCAAGGTTGCCTGCTTTTGTGAGCCGTCACCCACGCTGCATGGGTGGGCTTTGGTGATGCCTCTGTCTGTGAATCGTTGCTGCTCTTGTGACCCCTCACCCGTTTTCCTCTATGTAACCCCAATAAAGCTCAGTGTTCACCTGGTTGGATTTGAGTGGTAATTGTACCTTGGTCTCTTGTTGGTCCCTTTTTAGGGTGAGTAGATGGTTTGTTCATGTCGCCCCAGGAATGGTGTCACACAACAACTTGTGTGTGTGCACATGTGTGCACATGCATGTGGAGCCTACAAGTTGAAAACAGGTGTCTTCCGCAATTGCTTTCAATCGTATTTTTGAGACAAGGTGTCTCACTGAATCTGGAGTTCACTAGTTCAGTTAGACTGGATGCCAGAAAGCCTCGGCATCCTCGTCACAGCCAGCCTAGGACTTGGATCTCAGGAGTGTGACACAGCCTTCAGCTGTTTTATGAAAAGTGCTGGGATTGGCCTCACGTCTTCCTGCTTGTGAAGCAAGCACTTTATGAACTGGCCAAGTCCTGCCAAAGTTCGGTTCTTTTTATTTGTGTGTATGGGTGTGTGGTTCACGTTCATGTGGATAGGTGTGATCGCCTATGTGTGTGCATAGGGAGGCCAGAGGTTGACTCTGAGTGCCTTCCCATGGGGTCTGTGTACACCTGTGCTCAGGTCCACTTGGGGTGTCCCCCACTATTGCCCACCTTAGTTTTCACACGCAGTCTCGATGAATCTGGAGCTCACCATTTCAAACAAACTGTCTCTATCCTGCCATCACTACTGGGGATACAGGTGCATGATGCCACGCTTGGCTTTTATGTGGGTGCTCGGAGCCCAAACTCTGGTTTTTAAACTGCACAGCAAGCACGCTACCCACCGAGCAATCCTGCCAGCCCCAGCCTTATTTCTTTGAGACAGGGTCTCTCACTGAACCTAAAGCACACCATTTTGGCTTGGCTGGCTGATTGGGAAGACCTAGGGGCCGCCTATTGCTCTCGCATCCTGACCCCCTCGTACTGGAATAACAAATTTATACTACTGAATAGAAAACCTTACATACCACTGTCTGTTTAGTCTTGAAACTGCACTGTCTGTCCCTCGGTATCCATCTGACATTTTAAACTTTCCACCTCCTGAAGATTATAAAAATCGACATGCTATTTAGGATATCACCAAAAAATTTCAATGCAACCTGTCAGAACCATGCTGAACAGCTTCTCCATATTTCCAATACAGCTCACCAATGCTGACATAAAATTGTCTACTTACCCCTGACTCCTATCACTTACTCACATTCTCTAGCCCAACTCAGCTTCCTTGGTTTGATCTCTTGTTACAGTACAAAACTGGTTCATGAAGTAGCCACTCAATGTGCCATGAAAATTAACTCCAATGTCACCTCTCATCTAGGGTGACAGTGTTTCATGTGGATGTCAAAAGCTGGGACTTGTATATCCCATGTTGATAGTTATACTTTAAGTAGACATCCGTTAAACAGGCAGGTCAAAGGCACGAAGGATACTTTACCCATTGCATGCCCTCCTTCCCACAGTCCATTACAGTCCCTGTTCCTTTCAATTTACTTCAGCAGATATTGAAAATCTCTCTACAAAATAAGGTAAAATAGTATCTTCTGCTTATCTTTGGAAATCCAATCCACATGATTTTTTATTTGCTGAAACTGCTTATCTACATGGCTTCACTTGAACGTAACAAATAACGGAAGGGAGAAGACAAATGGATGGACAGATCATAGGAAATGGGGATCTCCTACACAGTAGACACTTGCCAGGATTATAAAAACAGTGCACTGTTCAAGTCATGAGTGGTAAACTACTCAGGGACACTTTTAAGTTGGAAATATATGTCCATGATGACTAGGCCACTAAAAAGTCCTGGCAAATCCTAATGATACAAAAGTAACAGCATGTTCACCTCAAAATCTGTCAAAACGAGAAGAAAAGAGAAATGCTAGGTGTAAGAAAATTTGTCAGTAGACTACTAACTGAATTCCCAAGTGAAATCTACATCTCATTACCTACAAAACAAGTAAAGAAATACAGAATTCATTTGTACTGATCTCAGTGGAATTAAAAAAAAGTCCTGTGCAGGGAGCAGTGGCATATACCTTTAGTTCCAGCACTTGGGAGGCAGAGGCAGGTGGATCTCAGTGAGTTCAAAGCCAGCCTGGTCTACATAACGAGTTCCAGGCCAGCTCCTGCTACAGGGAGACCCTGTCTCAAAAAAAGAGCCCCTGCCCCCCCCAAAAAAAAGAAACAGTCATATAAACTGTAGATTGGCAAATACAAATGAGTAGGAACTACAACGTAATAAATTTAAGGACAAATAGAGATGAGCCAAGAAACCAAAATTTCTTATATCAAAAGACTTTCTTTAGGGTCTAAAGAGACAGCTCAGAAGTTAAGAGTACTGGCTACTCTTGCAGAGGACCTGGGTTCAAATTCCCAGCACCCACATATTGACTAACAACTGTCCATAACTCCAGTTCCAGGGGATCTGACGTTCTCCTCTGGCCTCCATGGGGATTGCTCAACACGGGTACACTTACATACATGCAGGCATAACACTCACACACATTAAATATTTTTTTAAACTTTATTTTTGTGTGTGTATGAGTATATTGCCTGCATATAGGCAGATGCACCCATGTCGTGTGTGGAGGTCAGAAGAGCATTGAGTTCCTAGAACTACTGTCAGGTGCTGTGAACTGACTGCTGGGAACTGAACCCAGGTCCTCTGCAAGAGCAGCTGGTGCTCGTAACAACTGAGCCATCTCCCCAGCCCCTCAAAAGACTTTCTAACATGAACAAGGATGATCCCCAAAATAGGGAAAGGAGCCATTTCTGCTAAATATGGCAGCAGACATATAGTATATATGGAGACTGCAGGTACCACTGCAGAAACCACCACAACACAAACACGACAATGCCCTAATGTCCCAGCACTGAGACAAAACACCTTGATGGAAAGCAACTCGGGTGAAAGGGGCAGCTGTGGCTTACAATTCTAGTACGGTCCATCATCTGGGGGAAACCAGTGGCAGGAGATTAAGCAACTGCTCATTTCATATCTACAGTCACAAGCAGAGAGAGCAGGCTGGAGCTGGCTCAGCAGTTACAGCACCAGCTGCTCTTGCAGAGGACCCGGGTTCGATCCCCAGCACCCACATGGCGGCTAACAACCATCCATAACTCCAGTTCCAGGGGGATCCAATGCCCTTTTCTGACCTCTTCTGTGGACAATGCATGACACTCACACATGCAGGCAACACACTCGTACACATAAAAACAATCAATAAAATATTTTTAGTAAGAGCAGAGAGAAGGAGCCCGCGCCACCTGGGCCCATGAGATGGCTCAGCAGGTAAGATACTTGTCCCCAAGCCTGACAACCCAAAATCTACATCAAGGATAGAGAGGCGACTCCCACACATTGTCCTGTGACCTCCACAGGCTTAGGTGCACCCACACCCTCACAACATAAATAAATGTACTACGAAAGCATTATCTGGGGGTGTCATGGTCCACCACGGGAAAGAACATCATTGAATGCAGGGACGAATAAATGGGGTGTGGTGGGACCCAGAAAACTATGGGGCTCAAAATGAGAAAACATACAAAAGCCAATATTCACATAGAAAAGCCAGTCAGATAAATAGAATGAGATGCTCTAAGTAATTATAAAAAAGTGTCTCAGAGGGGGCTTGAGAGATGGCTCGGCAGTTAGGGTGCTTGCTGCTCTTATAGAGAACCTGGGTTCAGTTCTCAGACCTACATCTGTAGCTCACAACTGACTGTAACACCAGCTCCGGGGGACCTGACATCCCCTCTGGTCTCTGTGGACACCGGCACTCACATGCACACACTCACACGCAGATATACACATAAATGAAAAATAAATCTTAAAAAAAGGCATCTCAGAATAAGGAAACAGCTCATTTACCCACTGCATGGGCAACACGTTAACCAAGTTGGTACCGTCAACTGGTGATGAACAAGAAGTGCAAACACAAATCCATGTACAATTTGCACATTAACTGTGAATCTGTACAGACTGTTGGATGTGATTGAGACAGTCAACTCTGACATACTTATCTACATGATGAGGCCTCTATTACCCAGAATCCACCTTTGAGAACTTACCCTGTCCCCAACTGCACAGTCATAACATAATGTTTACTGTGAAAACTAGGAGTAGGGGCTAGTCTAGGTGCCCACCTCTGAGGGGCGGGTAAGCAGGCTGACGCCCCTGACGATCTGCCTGCACTAGTAACCTCACTCACCTTCACACTGACACCTCTGATGTGGGACTGTGGCCTCTGCCACGGGTGTCTCCTTTACTTTCGCCATATTGAAGATGATCTGTGGCCTGGGACACCCTGTGAATTGGAAGAAAACCAGATTTGTGTGCAGCTTCTTGTGTGTCAGAGGACATCCAATGAACTTTTGCTTTGGCTAACTGTAGAAGTCAACATTATCTACTGGACACAAAGTAGTACTTGGAAGTGCCCCAAAGAAGGAACGCATCAGGACAAAATAAAAAGTCATGGACGCCGGGCGTGGTGGCGCACGCCTTTAATCCCAGAGTTTGAGGCCAGCCTGGTCTACATAGTGAGTTCCAGGACAGCTGGGGCTACAGGGAGACCCTGTCTCAAAAAGACCAAAAAAAAAAAAAGTCATGGACTAGTTCCGATATTCCACCATGGGAAACAGGGCCCCTCCTCCGTCCCCAGCCAGCTGCACTCACCCACTGACAAGAGGTGGCTGTAGATCTCCAGCATCACATCCTGGTACAGGCATCTCTGGGCAGGGTCCAGTTCCTGCCACTCGTCCTGGGTGAAGTCCACAGTCACGTCGTCAAAGGACACCCATCTCTGTAAAATACCAGCTTCACTGTGAATAACACTGACAAGTACAACACACAGAGATGAGTTTTCAGTGATGTTTTCCCTCCAGGGTGCACTGTTCAGCTTCCCACAAAGTCCCTATTTCACATCTGTGTTCAGGCACAAAGGCAGTTTATAAAAACACCTGCTGTGCATTGTATACTACGTCTTTATTCTCCCCGGGGAAGCCAGAAATGGATTCTCTTTGCTTCTCTATCCAAGGTTAAGCAGCCTGGCAGTTACTAAGCAACATCACGCCTGTCTGTAGCTCCTCTGGGTCCCTGGAGTTCAACATGAGCTTCTAATCCAGAGACTTGTACAAGCATGGGGTGAAGAGGAACACCTTAGAATAACGCACAACGCAAATTAGGGAGTGGCTATCATACTTCTCAGGGTAGAGCGGCTTAACAGGAAGTGAGACATCAGCAGCGGGATGTGGAGAAAAGTGGAGAGCGTCACTTTCTGGAAGAGATGGCCCTGTGATGGCATCCAGGCCCAAGGAGTTGGACAGGTCTGACAGCACAAAGGGTGTGGGTCCTTCACTACTGAGTGATGGACTGTGACTTACATGCTCAAATTTGGAGTTTTTCTAATTTAAAAACCTGTCTTTTCTACTGGACCCACTCTGAAGAGCAGATGGAGGAAAGACCTGCATTACGCAGGACTGAATGACAGTGGAGCCTAAGGACAGCACTTTGGTACTGTGGCAGCACTTTGCCTCCTCTCCAAGAGCCCCTAAGCCATAGGGGAAAGACCACTGGGGTCTCCTCGAAGCAGGACTGGGATGACCACACCTGCACCCAGTGACCAAATTCAACATCACAGGAGACAGGTGGCCAGACGTGATATGCACCTGGCAGGACATGCCACCATACTATTAAGTATTCTGGCAAAAAAATTAAAATCCAATTGGACTTGGATTAAGCCTCTATAACACAGCTCTCCAGCAGAGTTACAGTGGGAGTCACAAATTATCTAAAAATTTCTAGCAGCCACATTAGTAAGAAACAGATGGAATCAATATAATACTCTTATCTAATTTAGTCCTGTACATCCAAATTATTATTTCAACACAGTCGGCTTTGAGGAGCCAGTGCAGCCACGAATTGGGACAGAAGGTCAAAGGATCGTGGGCTCAGGGCCATGGACTGTGTGTATGTGGAGCTCGGAGTATAACTGTTACCTTGGGATTAACAGATTCCCTTCCACAGGAAGGAGGGTGGGGGAAGCCTGCTCCTTCAGGGCACAGCAACGTGCAAGCTGGAAACGACGGCAGAGGAAAGGGGACTTTTGGGTGACACAATATTCGTGACTTGTCAACCATGCGGGGCAGGAGGCTGGGGGTGAGGGGCTGTCAGTACAGCAGCTGCCTATGTTAGCCACTAGGTGCCTGGAATTTACTTCTCACCCAGTAATCAAGCCAAAATGACCTTTTTGGTTCACAAAGGCAGACTTGGAAACATTGTTTCTTCAGTCTGTCAAAACCCTCTCTGTGTTGAATAGAAGACTCCGTGGGGTGGAGGTGGCTCAGTGGTTAAGAGCACTGCTGCTCTTGCAGACGACCCAGGTTCAAATCCCAGCACCCACATGCCAGCTAGCAACCATTCCTAACTCCAGTTCCAGGGGATCTGATGCCGTCTTCTGGTCTTCATGGGCACTGCATGACACGGGTGCACTTATATTCATGCAAAAAAACTACATTCATACACATAAAGTTTAAAAAAATAAGTAAGACGTTCCAGGAAGTCACGTGACAGACAGATAGCCCTAACCCCAGCAGCAGCACCATGAACAGTCGGGGAAAGACAGAAGATGTCGAATGTTGGGCCCCCTCTGGTCCACTCTCCCCAGGAGATCAAGGCCATCTCGGGAGCGGGAGCCCAGATCCTGCAGCTTGCCGTGTCTGCACTCGGGAAACGGAACTCGGGGCACCTCTCCTCACCTCACAGGACCCGTGTCGCTCTGCAGCTCCCGGTCTCTGGGCCTTCCGGCAGGAATTCATGGCAGCAGGCGGGTCCTCTGGGGCTTCGACACTTGGTCCGTCCCTGATTCCCTCAGGACTGGAAGGGAGGGTTCCGGGAAGCCCAGCTGTCGAGGGAAATCTGCAGGACGAAAGACTTGGCCTGACCCAAGGGTCAGAGAAGACAGCAGAAAGCCCTGGAAAGTCAATGCCCCGGGTCACTCGTCCAAACTTTGCCCATGAGGTTTCGAAGGTCCTACCTGGATGTCATTACGGAATCACCACGTCGACAAAGCCCAAGGAAGCCCAGTTTTTGTTCTTAGGAAGGTTCCGGAAACAAAAGAGGAAACAAAACAAAACAAGACCCTGAGCTTGGACTAGACAGAAGGAAGACTGCATCGCAGCTCTCCCATCTGTTAGCTGTGAGAGGAGGTGTTTAGCACGGTGACATGTCCCGAGTGAGGACACAGCTGTTGTTCACAGGCCCTGGGAACCCGACACCCGCTGAGGTTCTCCAAGCCCTCAGCACCTGTCTGGTAGGTAAAAACAAACAAAACAAGGGAAAGCCAGCAAGCTAGTCACTGCTGGGTTTAGAGGGCAGTGATTCAAGAGAGAGTGAGACAGGCTACTGCGGAGGAAGGAGTTTACTAGAAAAGCTAACAAACAGACCGAGAGGCAACAGCATGTGGGGGCTCCAAGGAGGGGTCCAGGCCCCAACACCAGAGACAGAGCTTGGCGGGACAGAGAAGAGAGGACCCTGCTCTCAGAGCTCTGAGGATGGGGGAGGTTCCACAGCACCGCCTTGCAGCCAGGCTCTCTGGTTCCCAGGCAGGTGGCGGGGAAGGGGATGAGGAGCAGGCCACCAACACCCACACCCTTTGGTGTAAACTCCCTACCAGGGAGAGGTTTAGCTAGGGGCTCACAGTGTCTGTGTAGGCGCCCGTGGGTGTCTGTGAGAGCGGAGAGCGACCCTGGCCCGAGCAGCAGCTGGGTCCTAATGTTTCATTCTTATAGCTGTCTGCTAAATTCGTACTGGATCTTCACATGACCCTTTCAAGCATCTGTCCTAGGCATCAATGTCTCTGGTTTCTAAGAGGCACAAAAGGCTGTGCATGGTTTCACGATCTGACTCAAGGTCACCAAGCTGAAGTACAGGGGATGGGGCTCACTTCTGCTCATACAAAATGACACACGGTTCCTGCTATCTTGAGGTAGGGTAAATGTAAGAAAATTATAGTACTTAGGAAGCAAAGCCTGGAGAGGAAAGGGGCCCTGCGTCCTGGTCCTGGGATCTTGTCTGCTATTTGTGTTGAGAAACTTTATATGCCGCCAATCAAGCCCAAATAGCCCAAGGAGACAGTGTGTGTTTTCCAAAGGCATTTGTCAGTGACAGACCATAAATTACGTTTATTTATCTAGACCAGGCTGGCCTCAAATTCACAGAGATCTGCCTGCCTCAGCCTCCTAAATTCTGGGATTAAAGGCATATGCCACCATGCCTGGATACACATGGTATATTCTTGTTTTATTTTGTTTTCTGTCATTGAGACAGGGTTTCCCTGTAGCCCCAGCTGGCCTGGAACTCACTATGTAGACCAGGCTGGCCTTGAACTCACAGAGATCCACCTGCCTTTGCCTCCCAAGGGCTGGGATTAACACAGCTACAAGGTATATTCTTAAAGGCATCTCATTCAAAGAGGTCAAGGACAGTAAATAGACTGGACTTAGTTAGGACCCAAATGAGATCCTAAGTCTCTGGCCCTGTCTTCTTTCCTAAATATAAACAACACACCTCATAAATCCACCTTACAACGGGGTACAAAAGAAAATTCTTTCAGCTTTTAACCTTGTTGTAAACTACTTTTTTCCCCTATATTTTATTATTTTAATTTTATGTGTATAAGTGTACTGCCTGCATGTGTTTAAGTGCATCCATGTTGTACAATGCCCGAGGAGGTCAGAAGAAGGCGTTGGATCCCTGGAACTGGAATTATGGATGGTTGTTAGCCACCATGTGGGTGCTGGGAATCGAACCCAGGTCCTCTGCAAGAGCAGCCAGTGCTCTTAACCAGTGGTAAAGTAAGACGGAATCATGAAATTTGCAGGTAAAAGGATGGAACCAGAAACTGTTTTACCAAGTGAAGTAACAGACTCAGAAAAACAAGCGATGTATGTTCTCTCTCATTTGTGGGTCTTAGCTCCAAATCCTTAGATGTGAGTACATATCCTGATGTAACCACGGGAGTCAGGAAACAGAAAGGAACTGGGATACAGGGGAAGAAGGAGCCCAAGAGACAGGGAGAGCACGATGCAGATGTTACCAAGGAGGAAATGGGGAAAATGGGGGCATTTAAAGGGGAGGGGAGAAGGAGGGTTATACAAGGAACCATGGGGTATGGGAAGAAGGAGCTCAGAGACGGGGATCACAGGAGACAGGTATTTCAAAGGGAAAATGGGAAAAGTGGGGATGCTTTAGCTGGGGAGGGAAGAGGACAGGACAGACAGGCAGAGGGTATGACAGAAAAACGATGCTCATGTGGTGTGAAAAGCCAGAGGGAAATGTCTTAGTTCAAAAGCTACTGAAAATTACACATACAGGGCTGGAGAGACAGCTCAGCAGTTAAGAGTACTGACTGCTCGTCCAGAGGACCCAGATTCAATTCCCAGCACCCACATGGTGGCTAACAACTGTTTTTAACTCCAGTACCAGGGGATCCAACACCCTCTTCTTCCTCCTCAGACACTGCACAACACAGGCAGGCAAAACACTCATACACATAAAATAAAACACACACATTTTTAAAATATACATACAATATCTGAACATCAGTGCATGTGTACAGTGCCATACGGGAGAAATCTCTCTTCGAGTGGCTGGTCAGGGCAGTCAAGAGACACCCAAAAGTACACAGGCTATCACCACAGCCCTTGATTGCCCCCCAGAACTTGGAGGTTAGACCCTCTTGCTGAAGACAGGACATGCTTCAGACACAGGATGTGGAGCAATGGAGCTGGAACTGACCTGGAAGCCTCCTCCCTGAAGACTAGCTCTCATAGTTATGGAGGACACTATGTGAGCTGCTAAGGGAGAAAAATCAATCAATGGTCCAACTCCAGCTTTAAGGCTTAATAACCATAGCAAAGACCAGTACAGCAAACTGTATCAGTGCAGTCGTGGCACTTTTATCTTGGGGGTAATCAACAGCAATCCAACTAGACTTAAAGCCCACTCAATGGAGAGAACTCATGGGTGGCACTGTAAAAATAGCCAGAAAATACATGTGACTGGAGAGGTTATAGATTCCTAGAAAAATCCCTACATCTGTCATGCCCCTAGACAAATGTAATTTCTTATGATGTGCTAAACATGGATCCCTGTATTTACAGATACCTATACCAGTCACCACTCATCCAAAAAGCTTCTTTTGCAGCAGATGGGACTAGTACAGCGTTCTGCTGCTGGCCACACAGAGATTAAGCGTCTGAGAGATGCTGAGCCCGAAGTGACACACCAACAATGGAACCTCTACACCTAAGGCTCACAGAACATAGTAGAACAAGGGGTAGAGAGAACACTAACGCATCTGTCAACTCTCATACAGCGAAGCTTCCTCATGAAACAGAGGGCGATGAACACAGATGAGACTGGCCAAAGTATAGAGAGGGGGCAGGGAGTAGTTTTTAGCAGCCTTAAGAGATATAACTTGACAGGCACCAAAATCTTCTGTACACAATAGGTGTATGTGTATGTGTGTATCTGTGTGAATGCACGCTGTGAGTGGCTAGAAGAGGGATCTGCAGTTACAGGCAATTGTGAGCCACCAGATTTGGGTGCTGGAAACTGAACCCTGGTCCACTGCAAGAGCAGTATGTACTCTTAATGGCTGAGCTATCTATATCTACTGGAAATGGCTCTTAGCCAGACTCCTCCCTTTCAAAGCCCACATCCAGGCATGAACACGCCTTACTCTTTCCCTGAGCATCTCTCTATTCACCTTGGGTTTAAGGTCTAAACATGTCTCTTATTAAACCTTCAACACTGCTTCATACTGGCTGTCCCTGGAATGCTCTTCATCGTCGAAGCCATGGATGCCGGTTTTGCTGGGCAGCTGCCTAGCGACAGGGTGGTATGAAGGTTTGTCCCATCTTATCTACATCAGACCGTCTGATGGGAGCCCCTAGTTTTCTGTTTCCTGCCAGCTCCCTAAAGCAGCTGGTAATTCTCAAGATCTGCTCAGAATCTCTTGACACCGTGTGTCTTTCCTGCCTATTACCTTCCAATACATCACGTGTATTCACAGATCCAATCACCGGAAAACCAGCAGACAGGAACCCATCTGACTTCCATTCCGTAAGCCTACCCTTCCTTCCTTTTTGTGAGTCTGGGTGTCACACTACAGCACAAGCTGACCCCAAACTCACTACGTACCCCAGGATGGCCTTGACCTCACTGTGATCCTCTTGAATCAGCCTCTTGAGTATCGGGATCATATGTACAAGCTGCCCTGACCAGCAGACTGTACACGTCTTCCCTATGAGTCTTCCTGTTACAGTCACTGACACTAGTGACTCAGTGATCTCCAAAAGTGGATCACAGGGGGCTGGAGAGATGGCTCAGTGGTTAAGAGCATTGGCTGCTCTTGCAGAGGACCTGGGTTCGGTTCCCAGCACCCACATGGTGGTTAACAACCACCTGTAACTCCAGTTCTAGGGGATCTGATGCCCTCTTCTGGCCTCTGTAGGTATTTTAGAACACACGGGTGCACTTAGATACACGCAGGCAAAACACTCATACACATAAAATAAAAAGAGGTCAATAAAAATCTTTAAAGTGGATCACATGACCACCAAACTACAGTCGGCCTCGGAGGCAGCCTCAGGCTCCTGAAATCACGTCTACCATGAAATGTTTCCTGGAGTGTAATCTATTGGTCTCCACATTTCTGTTGTCAAGCAATTTCTTTCAAACTGAAACATGCCATTCTTATCTACGGCTACACACCCCAATACACCTCCTCAAACACCCCATCCTTGAGGGAGCCTTACTAAGACAAACAACTCTTATTAAGCAAACACCTCATAAGTCTCAGAAAGCCCCTGAAACCCACAAAGGCTGCTGGGATGTGGGGGCTCTGACCTGTCAAGCTACTTAAGGAGGGTGGGGGCTCCAGGGATGAGCTTTCCTGGGCTGTCACCAGGCTGGGTGGGCTTTCTGGTAATGTAGTTTGCCATCAAGTAAGCCATGCTCCAGTAGGTAACCCTTCACCCAAACTCAGGTACGGAAGCCCAGCGAACGCCCTGCTTCTGTGGTGAGTGTTGCTTTGTTCTGTCCTCACGTCCCCATCTAGGGTGAATAGACAGACATTTGACCACATCTCCCCAGGAAAAGTCATACAATAAACCCCAAATAACCCCCAACATAGGGGTCCAAATGGAGGGGCATTGAAACAGGCACTTAGAAGCTGGGCCTGGCATCTATGGACGCACAAACAACTCTCACCTCAGAGGAAACAGAGATTGTTTACTCCTGACTGGCACACGCCTCTGCTCCCAGCTCAAGAGGCAGAGGCAGGTGGATCTCAGTGAGTTCAAAGTCAACTGAGTCTACACAGTGAGTGCCAGGCTAGCCAGTTACATGGTGAGATGCAATGAGGGGTGAGAACGAGTGCTATGAACCAGGAACACAGATTCAGTGTACCCCAAATATCACATTCCAATATAGTAACAGTTTCGTGAAGTTTTTATAGTAACAGAACAAAAGAAAGTCAGACAACAGGGCACTTTTAAAATACCTCGGTAGAAACATCAGGTTGGTTGGGTACAGCAGACCAGGGAACCTTTGCTGTAAGTCTCAGATGCTGTCTTATGACACGCTTAGCCTTTGGGTGGGCAGAAGCTGTGCATTCTAAAAGGACTGACCTAATAGTCAAAAGATTGGACATTAGCTCAAACACAGGGATTGGCGATGAATGGCTATAAAGAGGAATAAGAGCTGCCTAAGCCCACCTGGCCCAGGACCTGCAACACTGTGGTTCTCCACAATCAGGAAATTTCTAATTAGTCCATCAGCCATGTTGAATCTTTGATATGGGTGTGGTTTTTATTTTCTGAGTGCTTCCATTTACTTGATGCACGCTGTAAATCCCAGCATTCAGGAGCCAGATGCAGGAGTACTGTTGCCAAATTTGAGGTCAGCCTGGTCTGTAAAGCTGAGTTTCTAGCCAACCAGGGCTACGTAAGTATACCTGGTCTCAAAAACAACAATTAAAAAAACCAAACCAAACCAAACCAAAACAGTCACACCCATGGCTCCTTCTGCTAAAACAACATGGTGGACCATCTCCTTCCCTTAGACTCTGCCGGACTCTGCCTACCTAACTTCTACATCCCCCTTCCAGACTGAAGGCACCAAGCAAAGGACCCCCCTCCACCTGCAGTCAGGATGGCCACCTCACAGAGGAGGGCAGCCATGAGAGTAAGGCTGCACCTTGGGGCAGAAACAAAACATCGCACAGGCAACAGATGGTTTCCCCACCCCACCCCCGGATCTGTAACGGACAGTCATCGGATTAACCATTTAAGGAACACCATGGAGGCCCTGAGCTGAGAAAGACAGGGTGGGGAGGGTCTGGCTATCAGTCCTGCTCCTCCTGCCCCCCTTCCTGAGCCCTGGGACGTCAGTTCTCCAAAGCCAGACCTGGGGTCACTGGGTCCATCACCAGCTGCCAACCTGGCCACGTGAAGCACCCCTTCCGGGCTTCCCTCAATCTCCTAATCTCTTCAGTGGGCACATTAGACAACCCTGACCTGCTGGGGCTTTTGTCCCTGAACCTGTTGTCAGCACTGTCCCCCTCAAATGCTGATCGTGGATGGGCGCTTGACCACATCTAGAGGGTCTCAAGTACTAAGGCCAGCACTGCCCCACCCACACATCTGCAAAGGACCCAACACCCCTATAAACTACACATAGGGATTAGGTTACAATTGTCTTTCCCAGCACCTGTTCCCTATGGGAAAAATTAAAATGGGAGGGGGGAATGAGAGGGATACTGGCCAGAAGCCGTAGTCCCCAGAACCCGCAGGAAGACATGCCCCGGCCCTGAGCTGTGCAGCCCACATGCATCTCCCCCCCCCCTTTCCATCAGTCCCGACACAGGCTGATAACTCAGTTCTGAGACCGAGGATGCTGCGTCCAAGCACCCTCTCCCCAGGACTGCGGGCTCCATCCTCAGCAACCTGCTGTCCTGACTCCTCCCCATCCCCACCCACCCTCCAAGTCCTCCACCCGCAGCTCCAGCTCCACCCAGCACGGACTCCCGCAGCACCCACGGGAAGTCCTCCCAGGGTCCCCAGTGCTGTCCTCGGTGCTCAGAGGACCACGTCCACAGGGGACCGCGCAGCAGCCCACATCCCGTCTGGACCCGAGTCAGTCCATCACTCTGCACAAACCCATCACCTCCCAGCATCCTCCCTGCACCGCTCACCTCACCCTGCTCAGCGCCTCTGCACACGGCACGCCGGGGCTCGCCTCTCCCTTCCCTCCCTCCTCAGCTCCTCCGACAGCTCTGCACACGGCACGCCGTGGCTCGCTGGGACTTCCGGTCACGCACGGGGAATATCCCCAGTGTTCAGAATCCAAATTCCCGCGGCGTCCTGGTAACGATAACAACATCAAACCACGTGATGGTCTAGGCGGAAATGGCCTTCGAGTCCTTTTCGGGTTAAAATGAACTTTAGCTCAGTCCTCTCTTCCGGCGGAAGTCGATGGATCGCGGGCGCAGGGTCGCTCGTGAAGCTACCGCTTGCCAGTAGTTATCATGGCGGAGCTGGCGAGACTTGGACACCGTGATGGCGGCGCCCGTGGTACGATGCACGAGGCCGCGTCGAGTCCTTTACTTCCCCACACCCAAAGGGAGGCGTGGGGCGATCCTTAGTCACAGTTTAAGGCTATTGGCTGGAGAGATGCTCAGGGGGTCACAGCAGTGGCTGCTCTCGCAGAGGACTAGGGTTCAATTCCCACCATGCATATGGTGGCTACAACTCCAGTTCAGGGGATCCGATGCCCTCTTCTGACCTCCGTGGGCATTGCATGACAGGGTGCGCTTTCATACATGCAGGAATTACACTCATACACATAAAATAAAAATAAACATTTTTTAAAAACCTATTCGCCGGGTGTGGTAGCACACGCCTTTAATCCCAGCACTCGGGAGGCAGAAGCAGGCGGATCTCTGTGAGTTCGAAGCCAGCTTGGTCTCCATAGCGAATCCAGGCCGGCTAGGGCTACAGGGAGACCCTGGCTCAAAAAGACCAAAAAACTATTCTCATGAGTTTTTTGGGTTTTTGTTTGTTTGTTTTTCTGTGTTTTTGTTTGTTTGTTTGTTTGTTGTCTTTGGAGACAGGGTCTCCCTGTAACCCCAGCTGTCCTGGAACTCACTATGTAGACCAGGCTGATCTCGAACTCACAGAGATCCGCCTGCTTCTGCCTCCCGAGTGCTGGGATTAAAGGCATGCACCACCACACCCGGCGAGTTTTTTGTTTTTAATGTTGCATACACACAAGTTGTAGAACAGGGAGGAGAAAAGAACTGGGGAAGAGGCCAGTTAAACAGTGAAAATATGCTAGGCATATTATCCCGAGACAGGTGTATCTTTGTGAGTTGGAGGCCAGCCTGCTGGGGCTACAGGGAGACCTTGTCTCAAAAAGACAAAAACAAAACAAAACAAAACAAAAAAAAAAAAAGGCTTAGTCATCTATTCCCACATGCCGAAATTTAAGAAAACTAAATATTAATTTTATGCAAAATTATTTTCTGCTCCTGTGTGTCTGCATCTCCTCAGCAGATCATCATCCTTGGACAGACAGGTCCATTTATTTATTGCACCTCAGTCACAACTTTGCTCTTCCAGAATCTCTTCCATTTCTTTGCCTCTGCACTCGACAAGCCTCGCACAGTTCACATTTACCCAGCAGCCACCAAGGCACAGGCACCCCATCAGACACTCGGAGCCCTTGCCTCTGGGAGCTGATGAAACACAAGAGCCAATCGGGAAGTAAAACTGCATGTCTCTTCCTCATCCTGCCCAGTGGGCTTGAGCCAAATCAGGCGCTTCAGAAGGTGCCCTGGAAGTCTGAATTCAATTTTCACTTCAGGTTAGCCTGTCTAAACCACGCTCACGAAACCACACCCCACCCTACAAACCTGGTGACTTTCTTCTTATTAAATCACACTTTACTTTTTGATGGAGCTCAGTTCTGCAGAAGGTGGATCAGAGACAGAGGCCAGCTGTCTCTCGAGAACAAGAGGATGTTTGGACATTGGTGGAACACCACCTCCCAGTCCAGGGCAGAACATGGCCTTGGGACAGGAAGAATGATAGTGGATGGGCTTGTGTTTTCCCTTCAAAGAGCCACTCAGAATTAAACTTCCCTTTCTGCACCTGAGTTTGGTCCTTTGCCTTCAATCATTTCGTCATCCACCAGCAGATCTGAGTCTCTACAACTTTTCCCCACACTAATCCATTACACATTGTCTGACCCTTTTTGCTCAATGCTTGTATTTTTCTCCACGGTCTGACCTGCTAGGACATAAAAGCAGTATGGAGAGACTACTGACCTTCCTTTTCCTTCTGGTCATCAGTCCCTGGTCTCTGGCTTTGATCCAGTGTAGAGGGCTGGAATAACCTTGCCTCTCAGCTCATCTGTCTGTCCATCACTCTTCCATCAGGGCTCCTACAGTCTCATCTTCCAGCTGGCTCAGCGTGGTTCACATAAAGTTGTGACTTCCTCAGCCTCCCCCACTTCTCCATCTGTACTATCTAATCCAGAATCTATGCTATCTAATCCCAGCTACAGGAGACCCCACTCCAGAAATGGTGCCTGATCAGAGGACAGGAGCTGAGGGGTTTTCCTCTTTTCTGATTGTGGCCCAAAACAGCTCTATGGGAAGTGGAAGTGTTTTCTTTCCAGGGGTCTTGAGAACGCTGACTGCATGTGGGTGGGGAACATCTGTGCTCACTGGCTTCTCATTCCCTGGCTTCCGATGGGACTTCTTGGTCTTGTGAAACCAGACCCTAGGACTTTGTTCCAGTTTGGGTTCTTTCTTTTTTTTTAAAGATATTTTATTCATTTTTATTTTATGTGTATGAGTGTATTGCCTGCATGTATGTAAGTGCACCCATAGTGCAATGTCCTCAGAGGTCAGAAGAAGGCGTTGGATCCCCTTGAACTGGAGTTATGGATGGTTCTTGGCCATCATGTGGGTGCTGGGAATCGAACCCAGGTCCTCTGAAAGAGCAGTTAGTGCTCTGCAGCCCTCCAGTTTGGTTTCCATTGTTTGATAAACACCATGACAAAAAGCAATGTGCGGGGGGGAAGGGTTTATTTGGCTTACAGCTCATAGTCCATCATCAAGGGAAGTCAGGGCAGAAGCTCATGTCAGGAACCTGGAGGCAGGAGCTGAAGCAGACACCTTGGAGGAACGTTGCTTACTGGCTTGCTTCCCTTGGCTTACTGAGCTATCCATCCCATACAGCCCAGGCCCACATACCCAGGGATGGCACTGCCCACAGAAGACTGGGCTCTCTCTCATCAATAGTAGTCATGAAAGTGCCCCAGACATGCCCACAGGCCATGTAATGGGGGAACTCCCTCAATTGAGGGTCCCCTTGCCAGGTGGCTCTAGTTTGTGTCAAGTTGATGAAAAACAAACCAGCACCAACTTGCACTCCCAAAGCTGACTTCCACTTCTGTGCTGTCCTCCCCTTTGTATGCTCACTCAAGAGAACCCAGGAACTCTCCATATCTGGGATGCTGTGACTGCACATGCCATGGGAATATGAAGCGGATCCAGAGACAGGGCTTTGTGAGGACAGGAGTGAGTTGGTCTTCATCTCTCCACAGGACCAGGAATCCATCTGGAAGTTCTTTCCTTCTCTCAGTGACCCCATTAGTGCTAATAGCTCCATAGTTAAAACCAACCAAGATCAAACAGTGCAGGGTCAATTCTACCTCCTCAGGACCAGATCCTGATGAGCTGTCTACTATGGTAGGGTCATACTTTCCTCTACCACTGGTACCTTGTCTGGTGTGAGGAAATATTTGTTCACAGCTCCTCAAATATTCACACCATCTCATAGTTTAAGTGTTCATATAAGGAGATACCACCACACTGGGAAATATTCGGAAGACACAAACAATAGTATCCTTAGTAGCTCAGGCCCCTCCAGAGAAGTGACCAGTGTCCACACAGGCATGCCCTGATCCTGGGTTCATCTACCTGAGTGTCAAA